CATAACTTTACTGCCGATTGATATTTTCGCTTGAAATTTTCAGAATCGATGTATAATTACATTTCAACTTTACTTAAGTGATCAAAATTTTCATTTAGGCCTCAAAGGAGAAGGATAAGGAGAAGGAGAAGGAGAAGGAGAAGGAGAAGGAGAAGGAGAAGGAGAAGGAGAAGGAGAAGGAGAAGGAGAAGGAGAAGGAGAAGGAGAAGGAGAAGGAGAAGGAGAAGGAGAAGGAGAAGGAGAAGGAGAAGGAGAAGGAGAAGGAGAAGGAGAAGGAGAAGGAGAAGGAGAAGGAGAAGGAGAAGGAGAAGGAGAAGGAGAAGGAGAAGGAGAAGGAGAAGGAGAAGGAGAAGGAGAAGGAGAAGGAGAAGGAGAAGGAGAAGGAGAAGGAGAAGGAGAAGGAGAAGGAGAAGGAGAAGGAGAAGGAGAAGGAGAAGGAGAAGGAGAAGGAGAAGGAGAAGGAGAAGGAGAAGGAGAAGGAGAAGGAGAAGGAGAAGGAGAAGGAGAAGGAGAAGGAGAAGGAGAAGGAGAAGGAGAAGGAGAAGGAGAAGGAGAAGGAGAAGGAGAAGGAGAAGGAGAAGGAGAAGGAGAAGGAGAAGGAGAAGGAGAAGGAGAAGGAGAAGGAGAAGGAGAAGGAGAAGGAGAAGGAGAAGGAGAAGGAGAAGGAGAAGGAGAAGGAGAAGGAGAAGGAGAAGGAGAAGGAGAAGGAGAAGGAGAAGGAGAAGGAGAAGGAGAAGGAGAAGGAGAAGGAGAAGGAGAAGGAGAAGGAGAAGGAGAAGGAGAAGGAGAAGGAGAAGGAGAAGGAGAAGGAGAAGGAGAAGGAGAAGGAGAAGGAGAAGGAGAAGGAGAAGGAGAAGGAGAAGGAGAAGGAGAAGGAGAAGGAGAAGGAGAAGGAGAAGGAGAAGGAGAAGGAGAAGGAGAAGGAGAAGGAGAAGGAGAAGGAGAAGGAGAAGGAGAAGGAGAAGGAGAAGGAGAAGGAGAAGGAGAAGGAGAAGGAGAAGGAGAAGGAGAAAGAGAAAGAGAAGGACAAGGACAAGGACAAGGAGAAAGACAAGGAGAAAGACAAGGAGAAGGACAAGAACAAAGACAAGGAGACAAGGACAAGGACAAGGAGACAAGGCCAAGGACAAGGAGACAAGGACAAGGAGACAAGGACAAGGAGACAAGGACAAGGAGACAAGGAAAAGGAGACAAGGACAAGGAGACAAGGACAAGGAGACAAGGACAAGGACAAGGACAAGGAGACAAGGACAAGGAGACAAGGAAAAGGAGACAAGGACAAGGAGACAAGGACAAGGAGACAAGGAGATAAGGATACAAGGAGACAAGGAGACAATGAGACAATGAGACAATGAGACAAGGACAAGGAGACAAAGACAATGAAACAAGGACAATGACAAGGAGACAAGCTAGGTGACAAGGACAAGGAGAAAAGGACAAATAGACAAGGCCAGGGCAAGTACACAAGGAGACAAGGACACAAGGACACAAGGACACAAGGACACAAGGACACAAGGACACAAGGATACAATGAGACAAGGAGACACGGATACAAGGAGACAAGGACACAAGGAGACAATGACACAAGGAGACAAGGAGACAAGGACACAAGGAGACAAGGAGACAAAGAGACAAGGACACAAGGACACAAGGACACAAGGATCACACAAGGAGACAAGGACACAAGGAGACAAGGACACAAGGAGACAAGGAGACAATGAAACAAGGAGACAAGGAGAAGGAAAAGGAGATCAAATGAGGTTATTCTCTTGCCGACACATGAACACAAAGTGCACATCTCTCAGTAACCTTCTACTAATACTTATAGCTAGAATCTATATAGAACTAGTAACATGGTCGCCTTTCATCCGTTTACGAATACGTTTATGATACCGCGTGTTTCGGGATTTTCCGTGAGGCCGGGATTAAAACTGATTACGCGTACGATTTATTTAACTAGCAAGCCGTCGGCTAGAGAATAACAACAATTTGATATGATACTCCGTCTCCGTCTCCGTCTCCGTCTCCGTCTCCGTCTCCGTCTCCGTCTCCGTCTCCGTCTCCGTCTCCGTCTCCGTCTCCGTCTCCGTCTCCGTCTCCGTCTCCGTCTCCGTCTCCGTCTCCGTCTCCGTCTCCGTCTCCGTCTCCGTCTCCGTCTCCGTCTCCGTCTCCGTCTCCGTCTCCGTCTCCTTTTCCTTTTTTGAATTCGATTGTTTAGGGCTAGGGCTCGGGTTAGGGTTATTATTATGGTTGTTAGGGTTGGGATTAGGGTTTATGTAAAACCGTTTTGTACGGCTGCAAAACTATAAAAACCTTGTATCACGTCGTGACCCCCATCGTTACCTGGGGACCCCAGGCTATTATGTTTCATAAAGAATAAAGATTCGGTGGAATGACAGGCTGAGCGCCGCCCAGTAACCCCCATCGCCGTTTCACTATACCCCTGTAGAGTTTCTACGATACAGGGGAGCTGCGCACCTGTGCGCGGCGGGTCATACAACGTATGACAATAAAAACCAAAGTCACATGAAATTTTTAGGCGAGCAAATCAGCGAATTAGTAAAAGCCAGTTCGGCAAGGCCCAATAATGCATTTTGCTGCGATCTACGTGGTTGCGAGAAGAATTACCTATTTGATGCGCGGCGCAGTCCAGATCCAGTCTAGTAGTGCATCGCTCTACAAGTAATTGTTCTACTTTATTGTAAATCCCAGAGTGGTGTTTGGCAATTAGAAAAATTGATCGTGCGTGGTTTACCCGCGGCAAAATTTTTGTTGAAATTCTTGTTAAAATTCTGCACGCCTAATATAAACAATTATAATGTGCGTCTTACCTGGGGACCTCAGGCTATTATGTTCATAATAGAGATTCGGCGGAATGACAGGCTAAGCGCCGCCCAGTAACGTGCGTCAAATACCACTCTGGGATACAATAAAGTAGAACAATTACTTGTAGCGCGATGCACTACTGGGCTGCGCCGCGCATCAAATAATTATAATCCTTCTCGCAACCACGTAGATTGCGGCAAAATGCCGAGCTGGCTTTTACTAATAAATTCGCTCGCCCAAAAATTTCATGTGACTTTGGTTTTATTGTCATACGTTGTATAGTATGACCCGACGCGCCGCGCACAATTGCGCAGCTCCCCCTGTAATTGTATCGTAGAAACTTTACAGGGGTATAATGAAACAACGATGGGGGTACAAGGTTTTTATAGTTTTGCAGCCGTAAAAAACGGTTTTACATAAACCCTAATCACAGGAGGAGCAATGCGTGGGCGCGATTGCAGCAGTTAGTGCCCGTTTGTAGCAGTCAGTGCCCGTTTGTAGCAGTTAGTGCCAGTTTGTGGCAGTTAGTGCCAGTTTGTAGCAGTTAGTAGCAGTTTGTAGCAGTTTGTGGCAGTTTCTTTGCACTTTGCTCCTCCTGCGTAATCCCAACCTAAACGACCATAATATATATAACCCCGAAGCTATCCGATACCCTTACCACAACCCTAACCCGAGCCCCGGAGCCCTAGCCCTAAACAATCGAATTCAAAAAGGAAAAGGAGACGGAGACGGAGACAGAGACGGAGACGGAGACGGAGACGGAGACGGAGACGGAGACGGAGACGGATACGGAGACGGAGACGGAGACGGAGACGGAGACGGAGACGGAGACGGAGACGGAGACGGAGACGGAGACGGAGACGGAGACGGAGACGGAGACGGAGACGGAGACGGAGACGGAGACGGAGACGGAGACGGAGACGGAGACGGAGACGGAGACGGAGACGGAGACGTTACCTGGGGACCTCCGGCTATCGCGTAATTTTTGTTGTTAATTGTGTCCTCGTTCCAAATACGTAAAGAATTAAGCGCTTATAATCGTTTATAATCGCTTATATACCCCGCTTACATAATCGCTTATATACCCCAAATAAATCAAATCAAAACATATTTTGATAATAGTTTTAAAATGCGTCAAAAAGCGCTTTTCATCGTTTATAGTCGCTTATAAGCGACAATTGAAGACAATAACATTTACGATACTTTATAATCACTTATAATCGCTTATAATATCTCGTACCTGACAATTTTTTCCTCGTTTCAAATACGTAAAAAAGCGCTTATAATCGTTTATAATCGCTTATAGACAGCAAATAAATAAGCGCTTATAAACGCTTTTCAGTAGGAAAATTTCAAGAAAAGCGGTTATAAGCGCTGATCATAGTGAAAATATCGCTTTTTAGCAGATTTCAAAAAATCGCTTATTGTCGCTTATAATCGTTTTATAATCGATTTAAACCGCTTATTAACTTAAAATAAAAAAGCGTTTTTTTAACGATTAGTAGGCGCTTTTTAATTTTGAACTTTCCCTAGTGAATATAATCGCTTATAGTCGATTAAAAGCGTTTTAAAAACGGTCCAAAAAACGGTTTATAAGCGTTTTTTTGAAAAGCGCTTACGGAGCGATAATAATCGACAACCCTAAAATAAAAGCGTTTTTTTATCACTAATAATTTTAATTCGCGATTTATTATCGCTTTTAAAGCGCTAATAATCGCTTTTGCAAAAATATTTTATGGAAAAAGCGATTATAATCGTTTTTAACCGTTTATTAACGGGACCGTTTATAATCGCTTTATAATCGCCAAATAACGGTGGGTTTTATCAATAAGCGCTTTTTTAGCGTAAAAAAAGCGGTTATTACCGCTGATCACAAAAAAATAGTTATGGAAACTTGCCCTTCTAATAACAACTTTGTGTGTCTTATTTACTTATTCGATTTTGTAAATTTTCAATAATTGCTTTATAAACCTTCTAACAACCCTAATAACCTCCTTGTGATCTGATCAATATAAATTAAACTTTAAATTTGATATTTCCGGAGATACATATGTTTTTTTCTGAAGATGTTTAGAAAGCAAAACATCGTGCTAGGTGTATATAACCTTATCACACAAGGACGACTCTTAGAAAGCTTTACAAATATAAAACTGTTAACCAGAGTGATACTTCAGAGACAACACCTGGATAGGAGTAACACGCACCGAACCAGACTCCTGGTCCTGTAACAACACTACCCTCTCCTACACTGAGTGGGCGGACACCCAGCCTGATGACAAGTATCTTGGCAGGAGTCCAGCTAACTTAGTCTACCTCTCTGTTGCTGACCAGGGAAAGTGGGCAGATGGAGGAACTGAAGAGGACTACACGGGAATAAAGTTCGCGTTTATGTGTAGTTATCCGTGTGTAGTAGGGGAGGATGAGGGGTGTATACCTGACAAGTACCCAGGACAACAGACAACTGTGGTAGTTCACAGCTCCACTACTGATAAGATGGAGAAGGAGATGAGGGAGGGAGGAGCAGATGATTCAACCTACTCTCCTTCACTCGACCTCAGCCAAGTTATGGAGTTGCTAACAACCAGCTATGACGGGTATTACGGTAAGAGATTCGTTGTGGGCGGAGCTGGCAAGGACTTCTTTGCGGCTTCAAACATCTGCCGAGACTTGGGAGGAAGTCTCCCCTGTATCCAGAACATAGTACAGCAGGAAGTTGTAGCAGGGCTGAATAACGGCTCCCTCTGGTTGGGTGGTATTGACTACTACGAGGAGGGAGTTTGGGAGTGTGAGAGTGGTGACAGTCTCCTCTGGACTAACTGGGCTGACGGACAACCTGATGATCTGGTTAGTAGTCTCTCCCAGAGACTTTTGAATTTGAGTAATCCTTTAGTTAGAGGGAGCGTGTTAGTAATTTAGTTGTTACCTCTGGATATATGAACACAGCAATTCTTAGCAATTCTCAGTAGTAAACTGTTTGTTTTCCAGTGTGACGAAGAGGATGAAGCTGACTTCACTTACATGGGTAGAGATGGCAAGTGGAGGGACTGTGGTTCCAATACTTTCTGGGAGTATAAACGTGGTGTTATATGCTCTATTGACTGTCAAGTGGGTGCTAGTTTAATAATACTTATCCTTACAGACTGTTTTAACTTGTCATACCCTGGAATGCTTTCTTGAACATTTACAGAAGCTATGAGAGGATTTTCAAAGCCACAAATACTTATAAGGCTTTGTTACTATTCAGGTAGGAGTTGATGACGACTGTGTGATATCTGAACAGATGACAGTGTCCGAGGAGGGTGTGATTGAGGTACAGACCTCTACCACTTCCACTACCTACGGTACGTTCCTACTGGGGGTTTCAAGAGTCTTGTATCGATTTACTTTTCGAAAAAACTTTCGTATCCAATTTTTCAAACTTGATTCTGTAAGCTTTAATGGTTGCTCCATTTTGTGATATTTTAAGAAAACAATGATATTCTATGGGATTCGATTCCAGGTTACTGGGAAGGTTTCTAATTTTCCTAAATAAGATTTCTGTGTTAAGATCATTAATAGGATTCTTTAATAAATATCAATGACTATAGTTTCACGTACCCATTTACAATTTCAGAGACAGTGTACGGTCACTACTTTGAGTATGTTGAGGAGGCAACAGACTTCTTTAGTGCAAGTAGGACGTGTTATGACCAAGGTGGAAGTATAGCTGTACCCATGAACCAGGAGGAACAGAACTACCTCCAGTCCAACATAAAGTAAGTTTTAATGCTAAGGAACTATACCTTCAGTCTAATATAAAGTAAGTTTATAATGTTAGGGAAATAATAAAAAAGCAAATTGAATATCTTGTCGCTCTGTTAGCCACACATTGTTGAAAAGATGGATAATCATTATAATTAACTTTTAACTGACTGTTTTAAAGTTGTTTAAATAAATTTGTAGATCTGAGGCGTTCGTGGGAGTGGCAGATTATTACGAAGAAGGAGACTACTTCAGCAGCTCCGGGAACGAAATAACCTACACTAACTGGGCTGAGGGAGAACCAGACAATATGGTATTACTCAGATATTTTTATTTATATTCCCGGATCGATCACAGAAAAGCTAATAGCATATCAAATTTTTTAAGACAGTCATTGAGAATTAGGATGTTATATTTGCTATTCTAAATGAGAGTTGGTCAGCGGAAGAAATTCTCCCCAAAATCTTTATTTATATTTCTATACTTTCTGTTTCGACTGAATCTCTGTAGTTTATTATTCTACGTGAGCATGACTCCCCTCCTCTTCCAGTACATGACAGAGGATGACGCTGACTTTGTGGTTATGAGCTTCAGTCCGGACGAGCCCGAACTACACGGCAAATGGTCCACTAAGGGTTCCACCACATTCTGGGAGCACTCCGCGTCCTACTTCTGCGAATTCAGTGAGTTATTAGCTGCTCTAACTTTATCATTGTCTATAGACAGTGTTTTCAAAGATCGGTCATCTTTGAAGCAGTATATTCACAATCTGGTGGCTTAATACAATTCATGTTTTAGCGTTTAATAAATCAAATAATAACTTTATTTATTAATTTATTACCATTCCCAGGCTGTACCCCAGATGACAGAGACGACTGCATGGTGTACCAAATCTAAGGATAAGACTCTTTTATCACAGATATTTTTAACTGAACTGTCCAAATTAACCCTTTATTTATACCTGGGTTTGATACGCAGGGAAATTTGTTTGGTTTCCACTTAAACAGACAAGGGACTTGACGTTCCATAGTATGTGGAATTTCCAAAGACTATTTAAATGAAATTGGTTGTATAATTAATGATACTTTCGTATTTCTGATAATGACCTTTTTTGACGTTGACCCCGTTTATAATGGGATTCTATATTCGCAGACCCCCGGATTATTTAAATTTGACCCTATTGAGTTGCAATTGAATCTATTGCAATTGTTTTTATCACTACTTTTGAAAGCTCCATTATTTTGCGGAGCAAATGTTGAACCTAAATATGTAATATCTCATCATTCTGTACTTGATTTATAAAGTTTCTCGAATTTTATTTCTTTCCGATATTTATTATAAAAATAATAGTATTAACATAATCGATCATAATTTAAATTGATGCATTTCTCTGGAACGGTATATTTTCACGCATGCTCCAGTTCTAAGATGAAGCAAATTCGATATAACCATCGAGATAGTATTAGTCTAACACGCAAGTCAAACGTTTAAAGGAGATTATCGAGCCGTAACAAGCAACCACCAACCAAGCTCTGCCCGTTTGCCGTCCTTTTGCTTGCTAGCACATAGTTTGTTTAATTGTTAAGCGTAGGTAAGGGATCTGAGATGGCGATGTAAAGAAACAGAATTGCTTGTTACACGTACAGTAACAAGCAAAGAGGCGAGTTTAAAATATTGTCATGGATACCCCTTTGAGGCAAGATGACCTATAAAGATAAAAAAGAAACATGTGAGAGAATTCAAATTGTTTTATAGATTGTTGTAATCGTTGCTCAACGTCTAATCTTCTCTTTTCATCATGGTTAGTAGTTCGGAATAGTTTTAGAATCATGATATTTAATTGTTAATCGCGTTTACCGTTTTCCTGGGCGATTGAAGAGTAAGGTTGAAGAGTATGGTTCATTCATGTGATAATTAAAATAATATTTTCCTCAGCGTGAGTGTATCTCGATTCATCTCGGACAAGCCGGTGTCCAGATTGGTAATGCCTGCTGGGAACTTTACTGTCTGGAGCACGGTATCCAGCCTGATGGCCAGATGCCTTCTGACAAAACCATCGGAGGTGGTGATGATGCTTTCAACACCTTCTTCAGCGAGACTGGATCTGGAAAGCACGTACCCCGTGCTGTCTTCCTCGACTTGGAACCCACAGTCATTGATGAAGTGAGGAGTGGAACCTACAGACAGCTCTTCCACCCTGAACAGCTCATCACTGGAAAGGAGGATGCTGCCAACAACTACGCTCGTGGTCACTACACCGTTGGTAAGGAGATTGTTGATCTCTGCCTGGACAGGATCAGGAAACTGGCCGACCAGTGCACAGGACTCCAAGGATTCCTTGTCTTCCACTCCTTCGGTGGAGGTACCGGATCTGGATTCACTTCTCTCCTCTTGGAGAGACTGAGTGTGGACTATGGCAAGAAGAGCAAACTTGAGTTCGCTATCTACCCTTCACCTCAGGTAATCTCTTTACACAAGGATTCATATCAATGCGATTTTCTATACTAAATCTGAGATTCCCGTGAATTTGTATATATGATCCTGATTACCTGACATTAGATCCTCACCCTTTGATTCACCTATTCTTTTCAGATCTCGACAGCAATTGTTGAGCCCTACAACTCTGTCCTTACCACCCATACCACCCTCGAGCACTCCGACTGTGCCTTCATGGTAGACAATGAAGCCATCTATGACATCTGCCGACGAAACATGGACATTGAGAGGCCAACCTACACCAACCTGAACAGACTGATTGGACAGATTGTCTCTTCCATCACTGCTTCTCTCCGATTTGACGGTGCCCTGAATGTTGATCTGACTGAGTTCCAGACTAACTTGGTGCCCTACCCCAGGATTCACTTCCCTCTGGTAACCTATGCTCCAGTCATCTCCGCTGAGAAGGCTTACCACGAGCAGCTCTCAGTTGCTGACATCACCAACGCTTGCTTCGAGCCAGCCAACCAGGTAATTCATCGTGATATTGTATCATATTTCCCATCTCTTGGGATACAGTTAAATTAAACACTTAACCTATGTTAAACATTTATCATAAATAATTTGATTGTTCCCGAACAAAACCTTTGTTATCTGCTGTCAACTTTTATATCAAGCCATCAGATTTCTTAAACCAAATCTTCCTCAGATGGTGAAATGCGATCCCCGACACGGCAAGTACATGTCTTGCTGTATGTTGTACAGAGGAGATGTTGTCCCCAAGGATGTCAACGCTGCCATTGCCACCATCAAGACCAAAAGAACCATCCAGTTTGTTGACTGGTGTCCTACTGGATTCAAGGTCGGTATCAACTACCAGCCACCAACAGTTGTTCCCGGAGGTGATCTTGCCAAGGTCCAGAGAGCTGTCTGCATGTTGTCCAACACCACCGCCATCGCTGAGGCATGGGCTCGTCTTGACCACAAGTTCGATCTTATGTACGCCAAGAGAGCCTTTGTCCATTGGTACGTAGGAGAAGGTATGGAGGAGGGTGAGTTCTCCGAAGCTCGAGAAGATCTGGCTGCTCTAGAGAAGGACTACGAAGAGGTCGGTGTCGACTCTGTTGAAGGAGAAGGAGAAGAAGAGGGAGAAGAGTACTAACTTGTGATTCTTATTGTTGGTCTGTTGGACTTTAAAATCACATGGCAGACACATTGTTTTCAATCCTTTTGTATGAACTAAAATCAGATGCTTTTTTAAATTGTATCATTATCAATAAACCTAATAATGCAGTGCCTATTATTTTACACATCCAAATGCAAAAATTGATTAATTTTACTTATCCCCATCGGATATAAGCGTTATCAACTTGTTGTGTAACCAACAATATTTCAAACAAAATACAGAAAATAAGTAAAATTTGTCTTTAAGGTTATAGTTTTACTTTTGGCAGATGCCTGAGTGTCGGAATGAATCATAATTAGGGTTCGGGTCGGATTAAAGTTTCGTATTGTCTGTCAGAGCTTGCACCAGAGGTCCACACGTTGCAAGGGCAAGGCTGGAGAAAAAGGAACAAAATAATACGTTCACATAGGGACCTCAAACTAAGTTTTTTACAAATTCATTGACGATTCATTGACGATGTCAAACATGTAATGTAAAGCAACAGTCTCCTTCTCCAGTGACCCGTTTCCTTCTCCTGTGGACAATTTTGATAAACAGATGCTTTCTCCTGGGGGTAATGTATTACCCCCAGAAATGTTCCGGAATTCAATTGACTACCGGCATTCCTGACTCCAGGCACTCATGCTGGTACCCTTCTCCAGACTGCTAAAATGACAGCCCCTTCCTCAAGAGAACAATGTCAATAGCCTCCTCTTGCCTCCTGCAGTTCATCCATGAGGAAACAAATGCAAACAATCTTTTTAAGGTCGGCCTCTTTTATCATATAATACTGTAGAAGACGTTTGGGACTATTTCTTGGATTCTAGTGAATTTTTATACCGGTAAAAAATATTGGCCCTCTTGATGTTTACCAGGAAACAACATTAATTATATTTATTCAATAAACATAGCTTACCCTCTAGTTCCATGGCAAATTTTTCACTACGTATATTAATACGCTAAAAAAATATGTCCGATTTTCTCACTAAATTAATTGAGCTAAAAAAATCGTAAACGTGCTCACGTATTCAATTTTTCTCACTCAAATAATATACTCGCTGCGGTCGTAATCGATATTATAATTGCATTTTGTTGTCCCGCACCCAAGTTTCTGTTTGTGTTTGTGTATCCTAATTAAAACTCGAGTGGCCGCAGTCCTGATCCTATCCGACACCACCAATACGCGCGTATGATCTATTACTGCGTGCAAATTATTTGCCAATGGAACAGGTCGTATAAATTACCCGTATAATTTTATTTCGCAAATAAAAGTGTGCAAATTTGTTCACTGTATGGAACTAAAGGGTAAGTGTGCAAATCGAGAAAATATGCGCCATAAGAGTGATTGTTCAGTATTAAGTAACTTAATCTTTAATAAGGGCAGCTTATTGCTCACGATATATCGGTGTAGGTCCGCTGCCAGTAATTATTGGCTACGTGTTAAGCATTACATTACTTAATTTAGATCTGAGCTCATTTTTTTCTAGGAAGAAAAATCGGACGACTTGATTTTGTTAAGATCCTGTATTCTGCATATCATTTTTTTACTAATTTGTTATTTCGTAATTTGCTTATTTGCATGGGTTGAAGGCTTTTAAATTTGGTGCGTTTGTCCAAATATGGTCATATTGTTTTGGCCAATTTGGAAATGTCACTTTTTGAACAAATATGGGCTGCCCCACAGGCTCCAGTCTATGACCCCCTCAAAAGTTTGGTTACAGAATATAATGATCAAGTTTCACAAAAAATATGTGCAGATTACACTAATAGTGTTTTGCAGTGAATTAATATTACTCAATAGTCATTGCTCAATACTCACATCACAATTTGAAAAGTCGGAGACAATAATATGTGTGTCAACTCTTGGCGATTTACATTACACATATAACATATATTTAAGCTAGACTATGGTTGTTTTTAAATTGCCAATTGTTTACTGTTAGCTTCGGTTTTATATATTATTAATAAAAATCTCGATAAATCCTGTACAGTGTCCTGAAGAATGTTATAAAAATGTAAATTACCGGCTAGATGAAAATATTTTTAGTGGTTCTCCTCGTACACGGAATTGCTGCCGAAGGTAAGAACTTTAGTAAGGGTTATAGCGATAGCATGACAACTATACATAAGCGTGTATAATGAGCAATTTATTATGCGGGCTTCGTGTGCAGCTGTTTTATTTTTAACAGATGATACTCGTAAAATATTTGTTTTAAATATTGACCGTAAACAAGATCGAGGGCTTTGGTTAGAGCAAACTTATTCGCATGCAGTATGAGTGCGGACCTCATTATCAAATCGTAGTACCACGATATATTGAGTAGTCAGTAGCTACTGCTGTTGTTAACAGGGTAGATCACATCATCGAAATTCAATTCCTGAATGACTTAGGGATTTTAAATATCAACTCTGTTCCACATTCTGAATAATATCTACTAAATTTAAACGGTCAAAATATATGCTCAGCAACTAGAGCTTCGAACCCGAATTACAAAACATGTTCATAAAATTACATTAATTGGACACTAAATCTTTTAATGTCCGTTCATTTTAAAATTAATGTCCGTTTAAATTTTTGCGAACTTGTTGTAGTAGATGGCCCCTTAACTTAAAGCGTTCATTTTTCAAAATTATGTCTGTTACTCTGTTCACACTTCACGAAATTTCAAATAACGTCCGATAAGGTAGACATCTCGTGCACTACCGCTCTTTGCAATTTGAGCTGTATATCATTTAGAATTGAACACGATTGATCGTATTAAGGGTCTATCTATAAGATATATATATATACATTCGTACGGTGTGTCTACGTATTTTATTAACATTACGTATTTGCAGTGGTATTCAGACTTGTGGATCATTGGGGTAACACTATTGTGCGAGGTGGAGAGAGTGGATTGCTTTTGGCAAATGGTGGAACAGTGTGTGATGATTTTTTCTCTTACAATTCCGCTGCTGCGATTTGCATAAAAATGGGATTCTCTGAGACAGGGAGCTGGAACTCTGGAAACCTTTGGAGCGTGCAGAATAATTACAACATAGGACTTGATAATGTTATATGCAGAGGAACGTATTGGAGTTCCTGTACCTACACAACATCACACAATTGTGGTCATAACGAAGATGTCTTCCTCAGCTGCCAGGGACAAATTGGTAATCACAATGCTGGCAAGCACGACCGTCAGCCTTTATAATTATATCTTCTTTACTATATATGTATTTGTTTTGTTTAGACTCATCAGCAGTCGTTTTGCAGAATTAATTTTGTCTGCACTGCATTATACGAAATTCTGTAAAAATGTGAGTGTTTCCTATGTTGCAAAGTGCTCAACGAATATGTATTAGGAGCTATTATGATTTTATTCAGAGCAAACGAAACTTATTTATCCAACATCATGAATCAATATTCCCGCAATCAGACAACGAATGAGTGTTACACTTCCGATACAAATTTTATAACATTGGGAGAATAATTACGTTCGTCATCGGTACTTAATAAAAATATGATTAGTACTCCAAGAAATCAAGTCATTAAGAAAAGCTGCAAATGAGTAATTCACAAAAGGATGATAATGCACTTGGGTGTGGGGGTGTGAAGGCCTAACTAGTAGTGAATGTATTATTATATTATTAGTCCCTGCATAAAAGATGGAATAATTCAAGCACCATTATAAGGACCATTATTAAAAAAAGATTGAAAGGTTATATATATATTGATGAGTTTTGTTTCTTGTCGTGAACATCCACTGCTATAATTGCTGTTAAGTCCTTCAGTGCTCCATTTTTGTGTCTATTAATCATTTCCCTGATAACCCTACAACCCCGAGCAAAGAGAGCTGAATTTTTTTCTACCAAAAAGTGGTCCTAATTATCTAGGTTATTTTAGTTGTAATTATTTATGATTCATATACAATACAGCCATTTATCATTAACGCAACATACTTGCAGATCCGGTATTCAGACTCGTGGACAGAGAAGGTAACACTATTACTGTTACTCAAGGTGAAGAGAATGGATTGCTTTTAGCAAATGGTAACACAGTCTGTGCTCCTTTTTTCTCTGACGATGCCGCTGCCGCTATTTGTAGAGTAATGGGACTACATCACGAGGGAGTGAGCTGGAATTTTGGTTATTTATGGCCAGGCATAGGGCGTAATTTTAACATAGTACGTGTTAAATGCATAAATACGTATTGGAGTTCCTGTCGCTACGAAAAATCAACCTGGTGTACCCCCGGCGAACATATCTTCCTCACGTGCGGTCCTGGTATAATATTCCACAATATTTTATCTTTCTTAACTTTTTTCAACAGTTAATAGAAGAGGGATCGAACGATTCAAATCTTCAAAATTATACTATTTTTAGTAGTAGTAGCCAAAGCCATGTTTCGATGTGAACAAAGTCTAATTTGCATTAATTTGTAGATGTAACACCGACACACAAAGACGCTTACAACGGTAAAGAAACAGTTCTCTCCTGTAAAGTCACGGGATTAGAAGCAAAAGCTACAGTGAGTTGGACCAAGGGAAACCAAACAGTAGACGGATCAACTGAAGGGGAACTGATCGGTTATACTCAGATCTCCACCCTGACAGTTATCAACCCACAAGAGGATACGGAGTACACTTGTGTGGTTACATCTGGACGGAACCCATTGTCGAAACCCTCTGAGACGCTTGTGTCACTCAACGTCTATGGTGAGTTTTTAGTCTGACCATTATAAATACCAATTAAGAACTACGATAAATGAAGTTTACATCCACATATATCTGATATTCCTCCCTGCTCAGCCACAGAGATATCAAGCAAGGGAGTACTCATTAACACAGAAACATCACTCACTTGCAAAATTAAAGGAATAACCGAGGAAATGTCCATTGAATGGACTGGATTTGAGGATGGTGATGACAACTATGTGCCAAGTTCAGGATCCTATGATTCTGTCTCCAACAGTCAAACAGGAACTTTGACTGTCAAATCAACAGCTGTCACTTCTAATAAAATGTACACTTGTACTGTGTCCTCACTTCAAAACACTGAATCAGACAAGGAGGATTTTGAAGTCCACCTTTATGTATACGGTGAGTTATACCAATTTTACATTTTAGAGATAAGAAATTGAATATGAGGAGACAGTTTATGAATGACAGCCCATAATTGAGCCCCTGATGCTCGCCTAAGAATGCTTCCCGGAATCAGCGTAATGAACAGATGAAGATGCTCTATGAATGCACAAAATGCATGGTCTGAGATCATAGTACCACTGTGATGTGTTGTCCAGCAATTTATTGTCCGGTGGTTTTTAGTCCAGTGATTTGTTGTTTAGTGATGTTTAGAGATGTTTTGTCCGGTGATTTGCCTTAGAAAATGGCACAGAGTATTAAAGTACATTGTACTATTGTATAGTGGAGGGACTATCAAACATAAAACTTAATATTTAATCATATAAGTTCATTAATCGATTATGACAAAAATCTAATTAAGTTTCAGCAAGAGTAACATTAATTAATTGTAACGTTATCAGTTGCAGACTTGAAGTATTATGTAACAGGATTTGTAACACTTTCAATAACGACACCTGATGCAGATTTTAGTCTGATTGCTATGGATGATGTGTCTTGTAACAGTGGTGAATGGAGCTCATGCTCTTATTCATGGTCTCACAACTGTGATCACAGTAAAGATGTATTTCTTCAGTGCCAGGGAGTTGGTGAGTTGATTACTGAAAATTAGATTAGTGGATTCTGTCGGAATAAGAAATTTATCGAATAAATTATCTGGCACGGTTCATCTATATTTTATATACTTATAATACATAAGTATATATATACAATTTGAAACTTTATTGACTATCCTTTCCTTTTAATAGTTTAGGTCGCTAAAAAGAAAAATACGCATTGGGCTTCTTATTAAAGTATTTACAATATCGAAGGGAATTTTATTTTAGTACAGCGAAACTGTACGTTCAAAGATAAAATCGAATGAATGATTACAGACTTTCTGTGAGAGCTTTGAAAGTTATTAATAATCTATATTTCAGAGTATGATACCTGGAATCCCGTGATACTAGAAACATTCCTCAGTGCTAACTTGGAGACTTTGTATCTGCATATGAAAACTAATTTTAGTAGTTCTGTGGGAAATAGACAAAACATCAAGATATGGTTTTATGATACAGACCTATACCAAGCTGGATCATTCTATATCTGGTTTGTATCCACTTACTCGGTTAAGTACCTGCTAGGGGAGTGTATGCAATACTACACCAGTTTCCCAGTAAGTTTGCCTGCAGACCAACAAAGGACCTGGATGATCAGTAGGCGTGGCAAAACAATGAAAGTATACTGCAATGAAAATATAGTTTTGGAAGTCGCTGCATCCTCAGAAATATGCGATAATCCAGCATATAGTACCACATGGGCTACATATTACGGAAGAGAAGCAAATGCAATCTATTTCCCAATTACCCATACAGCATCAGACTCATATTACTTAGGTAAAAAACATGAAGGTCAAATTTATATAGAGATTCGAGTCAATATGACAATTATTGATGTCAAGACTTTCATTGATCAAAACTTGTTCAGGAACTGATGTTCAAAAATGCACTGGACTAGATGCTAAATGGAGCAACATTGTGGCAAGCAATGACTTTCCAGTACTCAATGGAACAAAGGTTATTCTCCGATGTGAGGATGGATACCATCAATTTGGGGACAGTGAAATCACATGTCATCAATATACGCAGTTCTATTTTGTGACTGAGCCAAAGTGTATATGTAAGTAGAAGTAAACTGTTAGTATGGATAAACAGTTATAGGTACTCCCATAAGAGGACGTTTTAAAAAAATATTTCTGAAGAATTATAGTGTTACACAATTGAAAATTTGTATGTTGTACGGAGATGGCTATAAGTAGGAAGAGTTATACCAAACAAGTATATTCGTTATATTGCTGTATCGATCTGGTAGCCGTAATGGCAAACTTGAAGTATTATGTAACAAGATTTGTAACACTTTCAGTAACGACACCTGATGCAGATTTTAGTCTGATAGATTGGAAAGGTAGAGACGTTGGTGTGGGAGTACGAGGATTACTGATAGTCAATGAGGGAACAGTTTGTAACGACGATTTCAGCAACAACTCTGCCAATGCTATTTGTCGTAGGATGGGGTACAGTGGTCAAATTAGTTGGACTTCTTCTGACAAATGGAAAATGCAAGATGATCGACCCATTGCTATGGATGATGTGTTTTGTAACACTTCTGAATGGAGCTCATGCTCTTATTCATGCTCTCACAACTGTGATCACAGTAAAGATGTATTTCTTCAGTGCCAGGGAATAAGTGAGTTGATTACTGAAATTCGGCTTGTATAAAAATTAGATGAGTGGATTCTGTACAAAATAAGACATTTACTGGTTCGTATGAAATATATAATTCCAGTCTTATTGAGAAAGAATTGGGCTTCTTATTGGACTATTCACACTACCAGATTTAATTTCTTTACAAAACTACAAAAGATCTGCTCGTTCAAAAATAAATGAATGATTACTGACTCTCTTTCATTTTACATCCAAGATAAGGATTTAAAGTCTAACTTTTTGGAGAGATCTGAAAGTTCACTTCTTATTAATAATCTATATTTCAGAGTATGATACCTGGACTCCCGTGATACGAGAAAGATTCCTCGATGCTAACTTGGAGACTTCGTATCTGCATATGACAACTTCGATTAGTTTTGTAGGAAATAGACAAAACATTAAGATATGGTTTTATGATACTGACCTATACCAGGCTGGATCATTCTATATCTGGTTTGTATCCACCTACTCGGTTAAGTACCTGATAGGGGAGTGTATGCAATACTACACCAGTTTCCCAGTAAGATTGCCTGCAGACCAACAAAGGACCTGGATGATCAGTAAGCGTGGCAAAACAATAAAAGTATACTGCAATGGGGAAATGGTTTTAGAAGTGGCTGCGTCCTCGGAGATATGCGACAATCCAGAATATAGTACCACATGGGCTACATATTACGGACGAGAAGCAAACGCAATCTATTTCCCAATTACCCACACAGCATCAGACTCATATTACATAGGTAACACTTTTCCGATTAAAAACATGAAGGCCAAATTTGCGTAGAGATTTGTATATTATTGAGTAAATTTTACAATTATTGATGTCAAGACTTCCATCGTCAGTGATCAACCTTTTTCAGGAGCTGAAGTTCCAGAAAAGAAGTAGCTGTTGGAGTACTCAAACATATTTTCTGATTGTAGACAATTTCAGAATTTCTACTTGCACTTGAGGAGAAATTGAACGTTTTACACTACGTTTTACTTTAACGCATTTTTAAAAGTGATGCCAAAAGAACTGTATCAACAACAACAAAAAGTAACCGTTTTTGTTATTTTTCTGTACCGATCTGTCATCTGAAAGCCTTTTAATTTTCTGTCATACGAAGATAGGCTGCCATACATCCTTGGTTGAAGTGGTTTTGCGTGTATATCTTAGAAGGCATGGACAAAAAGACAGGCATCGAGTTGTATCATTGACTATTTTCATTAATCTCTTTTGCCCCATTATTCCTCAAAGTTCTTAGTAGTGTTTATTGATTCTCAGCTAAGGACCCTATTGATTTCTACTTATGTTTTTATATTACAGCAGCTAATTATACAATCCAACATTATACATTTCATCTTGCACGACACTCAACCCTGGCCCCAGATTATGATTTTAGTCTTACACGGGAACATACACCTAATATATCCAGCACTAACCGAACCGTTACACTAATAAACCCTAGTAACCTTTAAGTTAAAACCTTCACTAAAACTGCAGGAGGTAAAATTATTTCTTCAGGTATAGGAATGTGTCTAATGTAGACATCAAGATACTATAGATAGCCACATGGCCGTGCAGCAATTTCTGTTTAAAGTTCTGCTACTACATTTCATTAGTGGGAACTTGGGTGTAGATCCTCAAGGTACGAAAGTTTCAGTCTCCGATACCACCAAATCTGTTGGCAAGGAACAAATGGTAGTATCGGTATCCAGTTGGCAAAACTAACGTTAGTTAAGCCTGCTTGTTCTAATCAGGCATTATTCACATACTTGTGTTTGTAATAACTTCACAGTACGCATACTCGCCTGCATCTACCAAAGTTAACGATACAACGAAAATTCTAAAACTAAGTAAAATAACAATAACAGCGTAATTGATCACCGCTCTTGGGCACTAAGCTGTTGGCACGATGTGGTGAATCAAGTCATTCTAACAAAATATTGATTTCAGAGATAACTACTGTGAACAAGGAACAGCTTACTGGCACTGAAGCAACGATATCGTGTACTGTTGCGGGTTTGACACAGGCATTCAGTGACGTAAAATGGACGACGTCTGGGGATGATGATGTGACGACTCTAGGTCAAGGATACACCGTCAATGTTGGATCGTTGGAGGGACATTTTCAAACTACCACTTTGACTATTCCTGCTGATAAGAACAACAATGATGCTACTTACTCGTGTGTTTTCACCTCCATTGATGAGCATGGTTCTTACTGCACAAGTCTCAAGTAAGTATTCTAAATTAGAATAATAATAATATTACAGTCAGTAAGAAATAAGAGACCTGTATGAGGCACAGATTTGAAATTGTTTTAATCTTTTTTATTTCAAACTTTCAAACATATAAGATTGCAGCTATTTTTTATCAAGACACTTATTTTACTTCGGTGTATTCCAACAGCCACATTGTTACACAAGTGCAACCAGCCAATTACAGGAAGCCGAAGGATTTATTTGGCCAGTGACGGTTTAGGTAGTGTGTACCATACTTTCTTCGCCCGAGACTTTGCTGCAATGTGCAGCTCCTCATTTAACCCTAACACCCGATTTCTCGAGTATTCGGCTGAGTAGACCGGGGGGCTGCATAGACCACTCAGAATCCTTCGCTGAACGTCAACGACGCTTCAAAATTTGTAAAGATGGCGTTCTAACCAACTGCGCTACCTGGCCGTTAAAATATAACTTTGAATAAAATATACCTCTGTTCAAACGCCTAAGAAACAGATGCTAGGTTTTAACATTTCCAATTGATTTCGTTGGATAACTCTTAACTTGAAAACAAGCTACAATAAATATGTGTTCGAACATTATGGGGCACTGGCGGATACTATCACTGCGATCCATGCTTTGGGATAGTGAGTCATATGGCCTGGTGATCTAAGACACAAGATTATGGCTCAGATCCCCAGCGACTTTATGATTCACCCCCACTGTTCAACAAAATATAATCAAACTTAAACTTAAAGCAATAATGGCAATATTATGGCAATGGATTATTTCGCTAATGAGTTGCGCATTGATAACTTTAGATTTGATTCGAATTTGATAATGAGTTACATTCTTATTATTTACTTTGTAACATCTATTTGCTGCTTGCCAACATGGATGGATATCTCTTGTAGCTGTCACGTCTGTGACTAAGTCGGTCTGTTTTACAAGATCAGACGTTCACCTGTATTATCGGAGAACGTAGGTGGAACCCTTGTTAACGTAGTCTGGATGGATCCTGATGGTACGACAGTTTCAGTCTCGGATAACACCAACTACGATGTCAGCACGGGAAAAATTGACGAGACTGGCAACCAGTTGGTAGAACTTGCACCATCAAGGCTATTAGGCTGGCTGATTTCATTATCAGTCCTCCTTTACTTACAAATGCTCAATGTCTTCGTCATAGTACGCAGACTTGCCTGCATCCACCGATTCAAATGTTGTGAGAACATTTATTGTAATCCCATCCCGACATGAGATATGGACGTTTAATAACAAGTAAATCACAAATGAATAATATAGGTTCCGATGACGCATGTGACAAGTATCCTACTATCAACAATAACATAATATTTCACCTACTGCACAAGGTTTAAAAATCATAACTGGGAACTGGGAACTGGGAACTGGGAACTGGGAACTGGGAACTGGGAACTGGGAACTGGGAACTGAGAACTGGGAACTGGGAACTGGGAACTGGGAACTGGGAACTTGGAACTGGGAACTGGGAACTGGGAACTGGGAACTGGGAACTGGGAACTGGGAACTGGGAACTGGGAACTGGGAACTGGGAAGTGGGAACTGGGAACTGGGAACTGGGAACTGGGAACTGGGAACTGGGAACTGGGAACTGGGAACTGGGAACTGGGAACTGGGAACTGGGAACTGGGAACTGGGAACTGGGAACTGGGAACTGGGAACTGGGAACTGGGAACTGGGAACTGGGAACTGGGAACTGGGAACTGGGAACTGGGAACTGGGAACTGGGAACTGGGAACTGGGAACTGGGAACTGGGAACTGGGAACTGGCCGCCACGGTCCCTGTATGTTACCTTGTTATATGTTTGCCGCTGGAGTGTAGATTTATTAAATTACGACAAGCATTGTATTTTCTGAGCTACTCGCTAGTAACAAGCCAGTGAGTTTGATTGTTTTTACTCCCTACTCACGCGATCTCTCTCCAGATGCAGGCTGCAGTTGGACGTACGACGCATCAGAAAGTGCTGGACGTTTCTACAGTACGAACTATCCTAATGTGTACAGCGATAATATCAACTGTATCACACAAATATTCGCTACTGAGGGTTACGTTATACGGCTCACCTTCGAGACTATCGACATTGAACATCACCCTACTTGCAGATACGACATTTTGGAGGTTGGTGTTTTTTAAGATAATTATCGAATGACTCACCTTTCACATGACTCACCTTTCACATGACTCACCTTTCACAGGACTCAACTTTTACATGACTCCCCTTTCGCAGTTTTAATAGTTTTTACATGATTTGATTCGACAAAAATTATTCATCTGCTGAACTATCGAATATTCCTTATAAATTAATGATTAATCAACATAACAGAATAAAAGTTGAGAATACTTTTCAATAGTCAAATACCAAGTTAGGTACAGTAACAACCCTGATTTAACACGCCCACACAAACCGCACCTAAATATTAGTTACATTCCATTAGAACTCAATTTACCTCGGTCTACCCTCGCTTTACTTGCCCACTTACTTTACCTCACTAGTTAAATCAGTCTCACCCTCATTTAACCCCACTAAATCCAGATACGAGATGGGCACCTATCCACAGCCCCTCTTTTGGGCTGGTTCTGTGGTCATAATTTAGCTCCCAAAATCTTCACCAGTACCGGACCCAACCTCTGGGTAAGGTTCGAAACTGACAGAAGTGTCGTTGCGCAGGGATTCTTCGCTCGAGTCGTTCCTGTCGGTGAGTCTCGTTTAGCAACAACCTGTGTTGTGGACTTCAATCCATTACGCAAAGTGCATTATCCAAATTATCGTTTGATTGTTAATCTGTCAAATTTCAACTATGCAAAGCTGATAATTATATTCCCTGTGATCAAACAACCAATGATATTTTAAGTTCTTCTTAATCATTTAAGTCTTTATATCATCAGTGTTTTCATCAGCATCTAGATAAAGGTTTGAATAGTTCCCTTACCAATTACTATAATGTTTAAAGCTCTGACACGACCGGTTCTCTAGTCCCTATTCTGAAAGTAGATTCTAGTACCTTATCGGACGTAATTTGACCGGACTTGTGTAACAGACATAATTTTGAACGGATATTAAAATTAACGCTGGGGCCTCAAGCGTCCAATTGATGTCCCGTTAAAATAAAGTCCGATAAGGTAATCTCATGTTGTCTAAACTTATTTCATCTATAAATTGGCACTATAAAGCGTCTATAACAGTGCCCCCCCCCCCTCCCTTATATCATTTGTCACTCACCTCCATCATCTCCACAAGAGGTAGGTATAAAGCAGAGCCTCAGAAACCCAATTTTAAGTTTAAAGAGTCAGTCTCTTAACTTGATTGTATTTGGCATTGTGGAATATGTAGTTATGTTATCTCCCTGGCTCATTTTCATGATTCCTATTTCCTTAAAAGGTCCATTTTTAAATGAACCTCACAAAAAAGTTATGTTTTCATATTTAGTCTGAGAAAGTTTTTTGGCATCATCAGCCGCAAATGATCGATCCCGCGTATTTTCTTAGGACTTATATTTATACTAAAGTTCTAAATAACAAAAAGTGTATATACAACGCTGCAATTTGTAGGTTTATAACCTACCAGTAAAATAGTTTACGAGTATCACCCGTTAACGCTGCAATCTAATCTTTCTCAAAGAAACAGAATCATAAGGCTTGCATTCTATTCTGCGCCAATGCGCCAATTCGCCAATGCGCCAATTCGCCAATTCGCTCTGTCAAAAGCAATATTCCTCACATAATTTAAATCATATATAATTTACATATTATAAAGAAATAAATTTCGGTAACTTAAGTCACGCTTTTTCAACAAGAACAGGTTAGACTGAGGTCGTGCAACTCTACCTGGCATCTGCAAACTATTTACAGCAAATACCAAGGAGGTATAGGCAGGTCTATTATCTGGACCTTTCAGTACATCAAACTTTATCCATAGACTTTTCTCCACTCTAGCTGACAGTGGTTCAATGTTGCATCGTCTTTACAGATTGGCGTTAGAAATTACCCCAGACACTACCAGGGCTTCCTACAGCAGGACCTATAAAGTGAAAATTTGATCAAACAAAAGCAAAATTCAATAATTCATTTTCAGAAATTCTTGATTCGAGTAAATTCCATACTTTTAATACAGTACCGTCAGTAAATTTCTCGGTCAATTTTTACGAACAGTAAGTTTAAGTAAAATTTATTACAAAATAGCAGTCGAATAAAAGCTTTCTTTCTTATCAAATCGTGTTATTTATAACAACACGTAAATAATATAATAAATACGTCATGTTCAGACTTTCATTTTCAGGATCAAATGCAGTAGACCAGAAAACGGCGGTGAACTCGAAAGTCTTTAGTAAGTATACTAAGTTAAAATAACAAATATATGTATACGTATATTATAATATGTAGTTATTTATTACATATCCTATTTTTTTATCTGTGCGAATAATTTCTCATGTGTAACCAAGATATCCTCTACCACGAACAAAACATTTCAGCTGTTACCTCAACTCACAAGGATATCACCACCGCTGTAGACCAGACATTGACTTGCAGTATCGGAGGTCTAGACGCTAGTGGAACCCCTGCTACTGTAACTTGGAAGGATAATACTGGTACTGAAGTTGATGAATCGGATACCAGCAACTATGGTTTGGAGCAAGGATCGGTAAATGGCAGCGGAAATCAGGTAGCAGTACTGACTATCAAAGCTGCGAAGCTGGCTGCTTTTGCTAGTCTATCATCGGTCACCTACAAGTGCTCAGTCAAGTCTTCTCAATACACAAATTCTCCTGCATCGGCCGACCTAAATGTCGAAGCTGACATTCTGAAACTGGGTGAGCGTAACAAATCTATAAAAAAAAATAGGCTGACAGTTTTATTTGTCATACTGCTGATCGAGGAAATTTAATGATTTCCGTAGAACAATTCATCTTATAAAGAGCCAAATTATTGCGTATAATTGGCGCTCTAAAGCTCTAAGAAACTGAGCTGTTGGCAGTTGGAACGCTATGGTCTTATGGTGACTGGTGAGTTAAGTAATTCTAACCAAATATTAATTTTAGTGCTAACTGCTGTGAACAAGGAACAACTTACTGGTACTGAAGCAACGATATCGTGTACTGTTACGGGTTTGACACAGGCATTCAGTGCCGTAAAATGGACGACGTCTGCGAATGATGATGCGCTGACACAAGACCAAGGATACACCGTCGAGGCGGGATCGTTGGTAGGAAAATCTCAAACTACCACTTTGACGATTCCTGTTTCTGAAAACAACGGAGATGTCACTTACTCGTGTGTTTTCACTTCCGCTGAACATGCTTCAGTAGACCAAAAAACGGCAGTCAGCTCAAAAGTCTTCAGTAAATATTTTAGTTAAAATAACGAATATAGGTATATAAGTATATACTATATACTCAATTATTTATTGCATATCCTGAATGAAACGTTCCATTGATATTGCAACAATTTGCGTGTATAATCAAGATAATATCACGAACAATACATTTCAGCTGTTACCTCAACTCGCAAGAATATCAACACCGCTGTAGACCAGACATTGACTTGCAATATCGGAGGTCTAGACGCTAGTGGAACCCCTGCTACTGTAACTTGGAAGGATAATGCTGGTGCTGAAGTTGAAACATCGGATACCAGCAACTATGGTTTGGAGCAAGGATCGGTAGATGGCAGCGGAAATCAGGTAGCAGTACTGACTATCAAAACCGCGAAACTAGCTGCTTTTGCTAGTCCATCATCAGTCACTTACAAGTGCTCAGTCAAATCTTCTCAATACACAAATTCTCCTGCATCTGAAGAAGTAGATGTTATAGCTGATATTCTCAAACTAGGTAAGCGTAGCATATATTGACTGACAGTATTAGCTGTCATACTGCTGATCAAGGAGGTATAATGTAATTGTAAGTGATTTTTAAACAACAATTCAACTGATTAAGGAACAAATTATTGCGTATCATATCCGTTGTTAGACACTGAGCTGTTGGCAAGCCAAGCTATAAAAGAGAGTGAAGTTATTTTACCAAATATTAATTTCAGCAATAACTGCTATGATCAAGGAATAGCTTACTAACACAATTGCAACGGTTTAATTTTAACACCATCATCTTGCACTACAGTTCTTCTTATTTCATTACGAATTTATATCTTACAGCCAAACCTCAATATGCTTTATGTTAACCATCTTCAGAATTTGAATCAGTAAACAAAGAAGTGAAGAAAGGCTCAGATACAACAATATCCTGTGTTATCACTGGATTGACAGAAACAGCAACAGTGACCTGGCGAACTAGTACAGGACCAGTAACAGCTGAAAAGTTCACCTCTGTCCAAGGAAGCCATTCTGGAGGGAAACAAACATCAACTCTTGCTGTAGACGGGACTCTTGTCAATGAGGATACAGCCTACACTTGCAGAGTGACTTCTGGTTTTTTACCTGATTCCAGCCATTCGGATACCACCATCAATCTTAACATTTATGGCATGTTCTTTAAATATTTATATCAATCGTGCACTACAGTTTTGATAATTTCAGATTGAATTTATACTTACAGTCAAACTTCAAAATACTTAACGATAACTTACTTCAGACGTTGAATCAGTAAACAAAGAAGTGAAGAAAGGCTCAGATACAACAATATCCTGTGTTATCACTGGATTAACAGAAACAGCAACAGTGACCTGGCGAACTAGTACAGGACCAGTTCCAGCTGAAAAGTTCACCCCTGTCCAAGGAAGCCATTCTGGAGGGACACAAACATCAACTCTTGCTGTAGACGGGACTCTTGTGAATAAAGACACTGCCTACACTTGCAGAGTGACTTCTGGTTCTTTACCTGATTCCAGCCATTCGGATACCACCGTCAATCTTAACGTTTATGGTATGTTCTTTAAATGTTTACAATAATCTTGCAATACAGTTTCGATAATTTGAGATTGAATTTATTCTTACAGTCAAACTTCAAAATGCTTTACAATAACCTACTTCAGACGTTGAATCAGTAAACAAAGAAGTGAAGAAAGGCTCAGATACAACAATATCCTGTGTTATCACTGGATTGACAGAAACAGCAACAGTGACCTGGCGCACTAGTACAGGACCAGTTCCAGCTGAAAAGTTCACCCCTGTCCAAGGAAGCCATTCTGGAGGGACACAAACATCAACTCTTGCTGTAGACGGGACTCTTGTGAATGAAGATACTGCCTACACTTGCAGAGTGACTTCCGGTTCTTTACCTGATTCCAGCCATTCGGATACCACCGTTAATCTTAACGTTTATGGTATGTTCTTTAAATTTTTACAATAATCTTGCAATACAGTTTTGATAATTTAAGATCGAATTTATGCTTACAGTCAAACTTTAAAATGCTTTACGATAACATACTTCAGACGTTGAATCAGTAAACAAAGAAGTGAAGAAAGGCTCAGATACAACAATATCCTGTGTTATCACTGGATTGACAGAAACAGCAACAGTGACCTGGCGAACTACTACAGGATCAGTTCCAGTTGAAAAGTTCACCGCTGTCCAAGGAAGCCATTCTGGAGGGACACAAACATCAACTCTTGCTGTAGACGGGACTCTTGTGAATGAAGATACTGCCTACACTTGCAGAGTGACTTATGGTTCTTTACCTGATTCCAGCCATTCGGATACCACCGTCAATCTTAACGTTTATGGTATGTTCTTTAAATTTTTACAATAATCTTGCACTACCGATTCAATAATTTGAGACTGAATTTATACTTACAGTCAAACTTCAAAATGCTGTACAATAACCTACTTCAGACGTTGAATCAGTAAACAAAGAAGTGAAGAAAGGCTCAGATACAACAATATCCTGTGTTATCACTGGATTGACAGAAACAGCAACAGTGACCTGGCGAACTAGTACAAGACCAGTTCCGGCTGAAAAGTTCACCCCTGTCCAAGGAAGCCATTCTGGAGGGACACAAACATCAACTCTTGCTGTAGACGGGACTCTTGTGAATGAAGATACTGCCTACACTTGCAGAGTGACTTATGGTTCTTTACCTGATTCCAGCCATTCGGATACCACCGTCAATCTTAACGTTTATGGTATGTTCTTTAAATTTTTACAATAATCTTGCACTACAGATTCAATAATTTGAGACTGAATTTATACTTACAGTCAAACTTCAAAATGCTTTACAATAACCTACTTCAGACGTTGAATCAGTAAACAAAGAAGTGAAGAAAGGCTCAGATACAACAATATCCTGTGTTATCACTGGATTGACAGAAACAGCAACAGTGACCTGGCGAACTAGTACAGGACCAGTTCCAGCTGAAAAGTTCACCCCTGTCCAAGGAAGCCATTCTGGAGGGACACAAACATCGACTCTTGCTGTAGACGGGACTCTTGTGAATGAAGATACTGCCTACACTTGCAGAGTGACTTCCGGTTCTTTACCTGATTCCAGCCATTCGGATACCACTGTCAATCTTAACGTTTATGGTATGTTCTTTAAATTTTTACAATAATCTTGCAATACAGTTTCCATAATTTGAGATTGAATTTATTCTTACAGTCAAACTTCAAAATGCTTTACAATAACCTACTTCAGACGTTGAATCAGTAAACAAAGAAGTGAAGAAAGGCTCAGATACAACAATATCCTGTGTTATCACTGGATTGACAGAAACAGCAACAGTGACCTGGCGCACTAGTACAGGACCAGTTCCAGCTGAAAAGTTCACCCCTGTCCAAGGAAGCCATTCTGGAGGGACACAAACATCAACTTTTGCTGTAGACGGGACTCTTGTGAATGAAGATACTGCCTACACTTGCAGAGTGACTTCCGGTTCTTTACCTGATTCCAGCCATTCGGATACCACCGTTAATCTTAACGTTTATGGTATGTTCTTTAAATTTTTACAATAATCTTGCAATACAGTTTTGATAATTTAAGATCGAATTTATGCTTACAGTCAAACTTTAAAATGCTTTACGATAACATACTTCAGACGTTGAATCAGTAAACAAAGAAGTGAAGAAAGGCTCAGATACAACAATATCCTGTGTTATCACTGGATTGACAGAAACAGCAACAGTGACCTGGCGAACTACTACAGGATCAGTTCCAGTTGAAAAGTTCACCGCTGTCCAAGGAAGCCATTCTGGAGGGACACAAACATCAACTCTTGCTGTAGACGGGACTCTTGTGAATGAAGATACTGCCTACACTTGCAGAGTGACTTATGGTTCTTTACCTGATTCCAGCCATTCGGATACCACCGTCAATCTTAACGTTTATGGTATGTTCATTAAATTTTTACAATAATCTTGCACTACAGATTCAATAATTTGAGACTGAATTTATACTTACAGTCAAACTTCAAAATGCTGTACAATAACCTACTTCAGACGTTGAATCAGTAAACAAAGAAGTGAAGAAAGGCTCAGATACAACAATATCCTGTGTTATCACTGGATTGACAGAAACAGCAACAGTGACCTGGCGAACTAGTACAAGACCAGTTCCGGCTGAAAAGTTCACCCCTGTCCAAGGAAGCCATTCTGGAGGGACACAAACATCAACTCTTGCTGTAGACGGGACTCTTGTGAATGAAGATACTGCCTACACTTGCAGAGTGACTTCCGGTTCTTTACCTGATTCCAGCCATTCGGATACCACCGTTAATCTTAACGTTTATGGTATGTTCTTTAAATTTTTACAATAATCTTGCACTACAGATTCAATAATTTGAGACTGAATTTATACTTACAGTCAAACTTCAAAATGCTTTACAATAACCTACTTCAGACGTTGAATCAGTAAACAAAGAAGTGAAGAAAGGCTCAGATACAACAATATCCTGTGTTATCACTGGATTGACAGAAACAGCAACAGTGACCTGGCGAACTAGTACAGGACCAGTTCCAGCTGAAAAGTTCACCCCTGTCCAAGGAAGCCATTCTGGAGGGACACAAACATCGACTCTTGCTGTAGACGGGACTCTTGTGAATGAAGATACTGCCTACACTTGCAGAGTGACTTCCGGTTCTTTACCTGATTCCAGCCATTCGGATACCACTGTCAATCTTAACGTTTATGGTATGTTCTTTAAATTTTTACAATAATCTTGCAATACAGTTTCCATAATTTGAGATTGAATTTATTCTTACAGTCAAACTTCAAAATGCTTTACAATAACCTACTTCAGACGTTGAATCAGTAAACAAAGAAGTGAAGAAAGGCTCAGATACAACAATATCCTGTGTTATCACTGGATTGACAGAAACAGCAACAGTGACCTGGCGCACTAGTACAGGACCAGTTCCAGCTGAAAAGTTCACCCCTGTCCAAGGAAGCCATTCTGGAGGGACACAAACATCAACTCTTGCTGTAGACGGGACTCTTGTGAATGAAGATACTGCCTACACTTGCAGAGTGACTTCCGGTTCTTTACCTGATTCCAGCCATTCGGATACCACCGTTAATCTTAACGTTTATGGTATGTTCTTTAAATTTTTACAATAATCTTGCAATACAGTTTTGATAATTTAAGATCGAATTTATGCTTACAGTCAAACTTTAAAATGCTTTACGATAACATACTTCAGACGTTGAATCAGTAAACAAAGAAGTGAAGAAAGGCTCAGATACAACAATATCCTGTGTTATCACTGGATTGACAGAAACAGCAACAGTGACCTGGCGAACTACTACAGGATCAGTTCCAGTTGAAAAGTTCACCGCTGTCCAAGGAAGCCATTCTGGAGGGACACAAACATCAACTCTTGCTGTAGACGGGACTCTTGTGAATGAAGATACTGCCTACACTTGCAGAGTGACTTATGGTTCTTTACCTGATTCCAGCCATTCGGATACCACCGTCAATCTTAACGTTTATGGTATGTTCTTTAAATTTTTACAATAATCTTGCACTACAGATTCAATAATTTGAGACTGAATTTATACTTACAGTCAAACTTCAAAATGCTGTACAATAACCTACTTCAGACGTTGAATCAGTAAACAAAGAAGTGAAGAAAGGCTCAGATACAACAATATCCTGTGTTATCACTGGATTGACAGAAACAGCAACAGTGACCTGGCGAACTAGTACAAGACCAGTTCCGGCTGAAAAGTTCACCCCTGTCCAAGGAAGCCATTCTGGAGGGACACAAACATCAACTCTTGCTGTAGACGGGACTCTTGTGAATGAAGATACTGCCTACACTTGCAGAGTGACTTATGGTTCTTTACCTGATTCCAGCCATTCGGATACCACCGTCAATCTTAACGTTTATGGTATGTTCTTTAAGTTTTTACAATAATCTTGCACTACAGATTCAATAATTTGAGACTGAATTTATACTTACAGTCAAACTTCAAAATGCTTTACAATAACCTACTTCAGACGTTGAATCAGTAAACAAAGAAGTGAAGAAAGGCTCAGATACAACAATATCCTGTGTTATCACTGGATTGACAGAAACAGCAACAGTGACCTGGCGAACTAGTACAGGACCAGTTCCAGCTGAAAAGTTCACCCCTGTCCAAGGAAGCCATTCTGGAGGGACACAAACATCGACTCTTGCTGTAGACGGGACTCTTGTGAATGAAGATACTGCCTACACTTGCAGAGTGACTTCCGGTTCTTTACCTGATTCCAGCCATTCGGATACCACTGTCAATCTTAACGTTTATGGTATGTTCTTTAATATATATGTTTACAATAATCTTGAACTAAGGTTTCATCAATTTGAGATTGAATTTATACTTACAGTCAAACTTCAAAATGCTTTACAATGACCTACTTCAGACGTTGAATCAGTAAACAAAGAAGTGAAGAAAGGCTCAGATACAACAATATCCTGTGTTATCACTGGATTGACAGAAACAGCAACAGTGACTTGGCGAACTAGTACAAGACCAGTTCCGGCTGAAAAGTTCACCCCTGTCCAAGGAAGCCATTCTGGAGAGACACAAACATCAACTCTTGCTGTAAACGGGACTCTTGTGAATGAAGATACTGCCTACACTTGCAGAGTGACTTCCGGTTCTTTACCTGATTCCACCCATTCGGATACCACCGTCAATCTTAACGTTTATGGTATGTTCTTTAAATTTTTACAATAATCTTGCACTACAGTTTTGATTATTTGAGATTGAATTTATACTTACAGTCAAACTTCAAAATGCTTTACAATAACCTACTTCAGACGTTGAATCAGTAAACAAAGAAGTGAAGAAAGGCTCAGATACAACAATATCCTGTGTTATCACTGGATTGACAGAAACAGCAACAGTGACCTGGCGAACTAGTACAGGACCAGTTCCAGCTGAAAAGTTCACCCCTGTCCAAGGAAGCCATTCTGGAGGGACACAAACATCAACTCTTGCTGTAGACAGGACTCTTGTGAATGAAGATACTGCCTACACTTGCAGAGTGACTTCCGGTTCTTTACCTGATTCCACCCATTCGGATACCACCGTCAATCTTAACGTTTATGGTATGTTCTTTAAATTTTTACAATAATCTTGCACTACAGTTTTGATTATTTGAGATTGAATTTATACTTACAGTCATACTTCAAAATGCTTTACAATAACCTACTTCAGACGTTGAATCAGTAAACAAAGAAGTGAAGAAAGGCTCAGATACAACAATATCCTGTGTTATCACTGGATTGACAGAAACAGCAACAGTGACCTGGCGCACTAGTACAGGACCAGTTCCAGCTGAAAAGTTCACCCCTGTCCAAGGAAGCCATTCTGGAGGGACACAAACATCAACTCTTGCTGTAGACGGGACTCTTGTGAATGAAGATACTGCCTACACTTGCAGAGTGACTTCTGGTTCTTTACCTGATTCCAGCCATTCGGATACCACTGTCAATCTTAACGTTTATGGTATGTTCTTTAAATGTTTACAATAATCTTGCAATACAGTTTCGATAATTTGAGATTGAATTCATTCTTACAGTCAAACTTCAAAATGCTTTACAATAACCTACTTCAGACGTTGAATCAGTAAACAAAGAAGTGAAGAAAGGCTCAGATACAACAATATCCTGTGTTATCACTGGATTGACAGAAACAGCAACAGTGACCTGGCGCACTAGTACAGGACCAGTTCCAGCTGAAAAGTTCACCCCTGTCCAAGGAAGCCATTCTGGAGGGACACAAACATCAACTCTTGCTGTAGACGGGACTCTTGTGAATGAAGATACTGCCTACACTTGCAGAGTGACTTCTGGTTCTTTACCTGATTCCAGCCATTCGGATACCACCGTCAATCTTAACGTTTATGGTATGTTCTTTAAATTTTTACAATAATCTTGCACTACAGATTCAATAATTTGAGACTGAATTTATACTTACAGTCAAACTTCAAAATGCTGTACAATAACCTACTTCAGACGTTGAATCAGTAAACAAAGAAGTGAAGAAAGGCTCAGATACAACAATATCCTGTGTTATCACTGGATTGACAGAAACAGCAACAGTGACCTGGCGAACTAGTACAAGACCAGTTCCGGCTGAAAAGTTCACCCCTGTCCAAGGAAGCCATTCTGGAGGGACACAAACATCAACTCTTGCTGTAGACGGGACTCTTGTGAATGAAGATACTGCCTACACTTGCAGAGTGACTTATGGTTCTTTACCTGATTCCAGCCATTCGGATACCACCGTCAATCTTAACGTTTATGGTATGTTCTTTAAATTTTTACAATAATCTTGCACTCCAGATTCAATAATTTGAGACTGAATTTATACTTACAGTCAAACTTCAAAATGCTTTACAATAACCTACTTCAGACGTTGAATCAGTAAACAAAGAAGTGAAGAAAGGCTCAGATACAACAATATCCTGTGTTATCACTGGATTGACAGAAACAGCAACAGTGACCTGGCGAACTAGTACAGGACCAGTTCCAGCTGAAAAGTTCACCCCTGTCCAAGGAAGCCATTCTGGAGGGACACAAACATCGACTCTTGCTGTAGACGGGACTCTTGTGAATGAAGATACTGCCTACACTTGCAGAGTGACTTCCGGTTCTTTACCTGATTCCAGCCATTCGGATACCACTGTCAATCTTAACGTTTATGGTATGTTCTTTAATATATTTGTTTACAATAATCTTGAACTACAGTTTCATCAATTTGAGATTGAATTTATACTTACAGTCAAACTTCAAAATGCTTTACAATGACCTACTTCAGACGTTGAATCAGTAAACAAAGAAGTGAAGAAAGGCTCAGATACAACAATATCCTGTGTTATCACTGGATTGACAGAAACAGCAACAGTGACTTGGCGAACTAGTACAAGACCAGTTCCGGCTGAAAAGTTCACCCCTGTGCAAGGAAGCCATTCTGGAGAGACACAAACATCAACTCTTGCTGTAAACGGGACTCTTGTGAATGAAGATACTGCCTACACTTGCAGAGTGACTTCCGGTTCTTTACCTGATTCCACCCATTCGGATACCACAGTCAATCTTAACGTTTATGGTATGTTCTTTAAATTTTTACAATAATCTTGCACTACAGTTTTGATTATTTGAGATTGAATTTATACTTACAGTCATACTTCAAAATGCTTTACAATAACCTACTTCAGACGTTGAATCAGTAAACAAAGAAGTGAAGAAAGGCTCAGATACAACAATATCCTGTGTTATCACTGGATTGACAGAAACAGCAACAGTGACCTGGCGAACTAGTACAGGACCAGTTCCAGCTGAAAAGTTCACCCCTGTCCAAGGAAGCCATTCTGGAGGGACACAAACATCAACTCTTGCTGTAGACAGGACTCTTGTGAATGAAGATACTGCCTACACTTGCAGAATGACTTCCGGTTCTTTACCTGATTCCACCCATTCGGATACCACCGTCAATCTTAACGTTTATGGTATGTTCTTTAAATTTTTACAATAATCTTGCACTACAGTTTTGATTATTTGAGATTGAATTTATACTTACAGTCATACTTCAAAATGCTTTACAATAACCTACTTCAGACGTTGAATCAGTAAACAAAGAAGTGAAGAAAGGCTCAGATACAACAATATCCTGTGTTATCACTGGATTGACAGAAACAGCAACAGTGACCTGGCGAACTAGTACAGGACCAGTTCCAGCTGAAAAGTTCACCCCTGTCCAAGGAAGCCATTCTGGAGAGACACAAACATCAACTCTTGCTGTAGACGGGACTCTTGTGAATGAAGATACTGCCTACACTTGCAGAGTGACTTCCGGTTCTTTACCTGATTCCAGACATTCGGATACCACCGTTAATCTTAACGTTTATGGTATGTTCTTTAAATGTTTACAATATTCTTGCACTACAGTTTTGATAATTTGAGATTGAATTTATACTTACAGTCAAACTTCAAAATTCTTTACGATAACCTACTTCAGACGTTGAATCAGTAAACAAAGAAGTGAAGAAAGGCTCAAATACAACAATATCCTGTGTTATCACTGGATTGGCAGAAACTGCAACAGTGACCTGGCGAACTAGTACAAAACCAGTTCCAGCTGAAAAGTTCACCCCTGTCCAAGGAAGCCATTCTGGAGAGACACAAACATCAACTCTTGCTGTAGACGGGACTCTTGTGAATGAAGATACTGCCTACACTTGCAGAGTGACTTCCGGTTCTTTACCTGATTCCAGACATTCGGATACCACCGTTAATCTTAACGTTTATGGTATGTTCTTTAAATGTTTACAATATTCTTGCACTACAGTTTTGATAATTTGAGATTGAATTTATACTTACAGTCAAACTTCAAAATTCTTTACGATAACTTATCTCAGACGTTGAATCAGTAAACAAAGAAGCGAAGAAAGGCTCTGATTCAACAATATCCTGTGTTATCACTGGATTGGCAGAAACTGCAACAGTGACCTGGCGAACTAGTACAGGACCAGTTCCAGCTGAAAAGTTCACCCCTGTCCAAGGAAGCCATTCTGGAGGGACACAAACATCAACTCTTGCTGTAGACGGGACTCTTGTGAATGAAGATACTGCCTACACTTGCAGAGTGACTTCCGGTTCTTTACCTGCTTCGAGCCACTCGGATACAACCGTCAATCTTAACGTTTATGGTATGTTCTTTAAATGTTTACAATAATCTTGCACTAAAGTTTTTCTAAGATCAGTACGAATTTATATCTTACTACCAAACTTCAAAATGCTTTACGATAACTTACTTTTTTAACAGTTAATAGAAGAGGGATCGAAGGATTCAAATCTTTAAAATTATACTATTTTTAGTAGCCAGAGCCATGTTTCGATGTAAACGAATTCTAATTTGCATTGATTTGTAGATGTAACACCGACACACAAAGATGCTTATAACGGTAAAGAAACAGTTCTCTCCTGTAAAGTCACGGGATTAGAAGCAAAAGCTACAGTGAGTTGGACCAAAGGAAACCAAACAGTAGACGGATCAACTGAAGGGGAACTTATCGGTAATACTCAGATCTCCACCCTGACAGTTATCAGCCCACAAGAGGATACGGAGTACACTTGTGTGGTTTCATCTGGACGGAACCCATTGTCGAAACCCTCTGAGACGCTTGTGTCACTCAACGTCTATGGTGAGTTTTTAGTCTGACCATTATAAATACCAATTAAGAACTACGATACATGACATTTACATTTACTTACAATCCACATAAATCTGATATTCCTCCCTGCTCAGCCACAGAGGTATCAAGCAAGGGAGTACTCATTAACACAGAAACATCACTCGCTTGCAAAATAAAGGGAATAACCAAGGAAATGTCCATTGAATGGACTGGATTTGATGATGGTGACGACAAATACGTGCCAAGTTCAGGATCCTATGATTCTGTCTCCAACAGTCAAACAGGAACTCTGACTGTAAAATCAGCAGCTGTCACTTCTAATAAAACGTACACTTGCACTGTGTCCTCACTCCAAAACACTGAATCAGACAAGGAGGATTTTGAAGTCCACCTTTATGTATACGGTGAGTTATACCAATTTTACATTTTAGAGATAAGAAATTGAATATGAGGAGACAGTTTATGAATGACAGCCCATAATTGAGCCCCTAATGCTCGCCTAAGAATGCTTCCCGGAATCAGCGTAATGAACGGATGAAGATGCTCTATGAATGCACAAAATGCATGGTCTGAGATCATAGTACCACTGTGATGTGTTGTCCAGCAATTTATTTTCCGGTGGTTTTTAGTCCAGTGATTTGTTGTTTAGTGATGTTTTGTCCGGTGATTTGCTTTAGAAAATGGCACAGCGTATTAAAGTGCATTGTACAAGTGGAGGGGTTATCAAACATCAAACTTAATATTTAATCATTTATCATGTTTATTAATCGATTGTGACGAAAAATCGAATTAAGTTTCCAGCAGCGAGAGTAACATTAATTAATTGTAACGTTATCAGTTGCAGACTTGAAGTATTATGTAACAGGATTTGTAACACTTTCAATAACGACACCTGATGCAGATTTTAGTCTGATAGATTGGAAAGGTAGAGACGTTGGTGTGGGAGTACGAGGATTACTGATAGTCAATGAGGGAACAGTTTGTAACGACGATTTCAGTAACAACTCTGCCAATTCTATTTGTCGTAGGATGGGGTACAGTGGTCAAATTAGTTGGACTTCAGCTAATAGATGGAAAATGCAAGGTGACCGACCCATTACTATGGATGATGTTTCTTGTAACACTGCTGGATGGAGTTCATGTTCGTATTCATGGACTCACAACTGTGATCACAGTAAAGATGTATTTCTTCAATGCGAGGGGGTTGGTGAGTTGATTACTGAAATTTTGCTATTTTGAAAATTAGATTAGTGGATTCTGTAGGAATAAGAAATTTATCGAATAAAATATCTGGCACGGTTCATCTATATATGCTTATAATATTTAAGTATATATATATAGTTTCAAATTGTATATATATATACAATTTGAAACTTTATTGATTATCCTTTCCTTTCAATAATTTAGGTCGCTACAAAGAAAAATAAGCATTGAGCTTTTTGTTGAAGTATTTACAATATCGAATAGAATTTTATTTTATTACAAAGGAACTGCTCGTTCAAAGATAAAATTAAATGAATGATTACAGACTCTCTTACATTTTACATCCAAGATAAGGTATTACTTTCTGTGAGTGCTTTGAAAGTTATTAATAATCTATATTTCAGAGTATGATACCTGGAATCCCGTGATACGAGAAACATTCCTCAGTGCTAACTTGGAGACTTTGTATCTGCATATGAAAACTAATTCTAGTAGTTCTGTGGGAAATAGAAAAAACATTAAGATATGGTTTTATGATACAGACCTATACCAGGCCGGATCATTCTATATCTGGTTTGTATCCACCTACTCGGTTAAGTACCTGCTAGGGGAGTGTATGCGTTACTACACCAGTTTCCCAGTAAGTTTGCCTGCAGACCAACAAAGGACCTGGATGATCAGTAAGCGTGGCAAAACCACAAAAGTATACTGCAATGGAAAAATAGTTTTGGAAGTGGCTGCGTCCTCGGAGATATGCGACAATCCAGAATATAGTACCACATGGGCTACATATTACGGACGAGAAGCAAACGCAATCTTTTTCCCAATTACCCACACAGCTTCAGAATTATATTACATAGGTAAAAAACATAAAGGTCAAATTTATATAGAGATTCGAGTAAATATATGAAAATTATTGATGTCAAGACTTTCACTGATCAAAAATTGTTCAGGAACTGATGTTCCAAAATGCACTGGACTAGATGCTAAGTGGAGCAACATTGTGGCAAGCAGTGACTTTCCAGTACTCAATGGAACAAAGGTTATTCTCCGATGTGAGGATGGATACCATCAATTTGGGGACAGTGAAATCACATGTCATCAATATACGCAGTTCTATTTTGTGACTGAGCCTAAGTGTTCATGTAAGTAGAAGTAAACTGTTAGTATGGATAAACAGTTATAGGTACTCCCACAAGAAGACGTTTTTACAAATATTTCTGAAGAATTATAGTGATACACAATTGAAAATTTGTATGTTGTACGGAGATGGCTATAAGTAGGAAGAGTTATACCAATCAAGTATATTTGTTATATTGCTGTATCGATCTGGTAGCCGTAATGGCAAAATTGAAGTATTATGTAACAAGATTTGTAACACTTTCAGTAACGACACCTGATGCAGATTTTAGTCTGATAGATTGGAAAGGTAGAGACGTTGGTGTGGGAGTACGAGGATTACTGATAGTCAATGAGGGAACAGTTTGTAATGATGATTTCAGCAACAACTCTGCCAATGCTATTTGTCGTAGGATGGGGTACAGTGGTCAAATTAGTTGGACTTCTACTGACAAATGGAAAATGCAAGATGATCGCACCATTGCTATGGATGATGTATTTTGTAACAGTGGTGAATGGAGTTCATGCTCTTATTCATGGTCTCACAACTGTGATCACAGTAAAGATGTATTTCTTCAGTGCCAGGGAATCGGTGAGTTGATTACTGAAATTCTGCTTGTATAAAATTAGATTATTGAATTCTGTACAAAATAAGACATTTACTGGTTCGTATGAAATATATAATTCCAGTCTTATTAAGAAAATATTGGGCTTCTTATTGGACTATTTACACTACCAGATTTAATTTCATTACAAATGAACTGCTCGTTCAAAAATAAAATTGAATGAATGATTGCTGACTCTCTTACATTTTACATCCAAGATAAGAATTTAAAGTCTAACTTTTTGTGAGATATCTGAAAGTTCACTTCTTATTAATAATCTATATTTCAGAGCATGATACCTGGAATCCCGTGATACGAGAAAGATTCCTCGATGCTAACTTGGAGACTTCGTATCTGCATATGACAACTTCGATTAGTTTTGTAGGAAATAGACAAAACATTAAGATATGGTTTTATGATACAGACCTATACCAGGCTGGATCATTCTATATCTGGTTTGTATCCACCTACTCGGTTAAGTACCTGATAGGGGAGTGTATGCGTTACTACACCAGTTTCCCAGTAAGTTTACCTGCAGACCAACAAAGGACCTGGATGATCAGTAAGCGAGGCAAAACAATAAAAGTATACTGCAATGGGAAAATGGTTTTAGAAGTGGCTGCGTCCTCGGAGATATGCGACAATCCAGAATATAGTACCACATGGGCTACATATTACGGACGAGAAGCAAACACAATCTATTTACCAATTACCCATACAGCATCTGACTCATATTACATAGGTAACCCCTTTAAGATAAAAAACATGAAGGCCAAATTTGCGTAGAGATTTGAGTAAATTTGACAAGTATTGATGTCAAGACTTTCATCGTCAGTGATCAACCTATTTCAGGAGCTGAAGTTCCAGAAAAGAAGTAGCTGTTGGAGTACTCAAACATATTTTCTGATTGTTGACAATTTCAGAATTTCTACTTATACTTGAGGAGAAATTGAACGTTTTACACTACGTTTTACTTTTAGGTATTTTAAAAAGTGATTCCAAAAGAACTGTATCAAAAACAAACAAAAAAGTAACTCGACTTACTCTTCGACTTAGGGCGGCTTCAACGTCCGAACAGAGATAGTTTTTTTCCAAATCTGTCTATCCAGCATGAGTTTGTTAATCTCCTTGCTGTCGTCAAGCCACATGTCAATATATGTGAGGTGTGGTCTTCGATCCCATACGACGATGTCCTTGAAGGGGTTCCCAGAAGAGAAGTTGATGACTCAGAAGTTCTTCATGTCTGGCTAGATGACCTGCAAGTCTCATCCTCCGTTCAGCTATCTTATCAGATGCTCTGATGAGGTGTCCATATACCTTGGCGTTAGTCTGCCGCTCTTTCCAGTTAAGTGCCATCCTCAGCATTCTCGTATAAAATCCATCAATACGTTTTACGAGGGTCTGGCTGAAAGTCCATGTTTCAGAGCCATACAGTAGGATGGACTCAACTGTAGCCAGGAACAGTCGTATCTTGAGATCTCTACGCGTATCCGACTTCCGTACAAGCTTCATCTGGTGACACGCTCCCCATGCCTTAGTTTTCCTCACTTCGAAGTCCTTCTCCGAAGTTGGCGGCCAGTTCCAGACTCCTGAGGAAATCTTGTGCCTCCGCAACACTATCTGTCATAAGAGCAAGGTCGTCAGCAAAGTCGGCATCAGTGACCTTGACAGCCGGATAGCGTCAGTAACCATTTTAGTTATTTTGCTGTACCGATCTGTGATCTGGAAGCCTTTTATTTTCTGTCGTACGAAGATAGGCTGCCATACATCCCTGGTTGAAGTGATTTAACCGACCCTGCCCGGTGCCCCTCGTTAAGTCATTACGAAGCAGTGGACAGATCGCTGGAAAGTTGCGTTATATTTGTACCTACGATTTGTTATCTTTCACAGTATTAGTAACTCGCTCCAACCAAAGTTTTAGTTTTACTAGCCTGTCACGTGACAAAATAGTTTTTGCTCATAACTCTCCTGGGAAGTATTTTACACTGCATGCGTCATACTCATAGCACATACTCATAGGGTGTGATTCGGAATCAGCGTACAAAATACACTGAATTAAAATACTTGTATTACTTACATACCCACTTTTATTTGGCCCAAAATAAGACTTTTCTGGATAACTCAAAAGTCAAAATCTACGTTTTCCCAAATTGTGCTGACAGGGGAGCAAACTTTAAATTTACGAGACGAACATTTTGAAAAAACCGGAAGCGAACTAGTCTCTATATCTATTTTACTTTCGGAAATAGACCCCAGCCAGTAAGGTTTCCTGAGCACTCTACACTTGATTTTTGTATAGCGCCCGACGCGACAGTTGAACTTGAAACTGAAATTTTGATTCACGATGTCAATCCTTCGCATCTCGCCGATCTGCGAGAAGATGCGCGGCGCGGCCCAATATAGTGCATTGCGCTACAAAAACCAATTTGAATCGATGTATTTTAATTCACCTAACCATGTGCTTTCGCGCCACTTCGGGCGCGCTTGTTTCACAAGTCAAGAAAAGCACCTATCCACGAACCCCGATGGGAAGGTTCTTTCGCGCGCGTGCAGTGCTGACAACAGCGTCTATGTAGCGCAGGTAGTCTTGGCACTTCTCCCTCCAGTATGCAGTAACCACTTTTCAGGTTTCTATAGTGCATAGTGACAGTGTATAGGGGTTAATTAGGTATAAACTAAAGTACAGCTGTACTTACACCTACATTCACAAGCATGCAAGCTCACCTGGTCCAATGAGCGGGAAACGGAAGACAAGGTCTGGTGACGTCATAGTCACGTGACCTCATAGTCTCATAATTACGTGACCTCAGACCCAATCAATGATCAATTAGGTTTGGGCATGGTCAGCCCCCTGTCACCCGATCTTTAGGTGACGTACGACACCTCGTTTACGCAATCAATGTCTGAAAGGCTACACACGTTGCATATGAGGACAAAAGCGCGGGAAATTTTGGCACCCCATATAAGTGGTGCCAAAATCTTTGGGTGGGTTGGTGGCTAGAGCCTTTTTTACCGCCGTGAGGCGGGCGCGCGCTACTGCAAGCGCAAGGGATCTGGATAGAGCAATATTTTAACATAGGGTTAAAAAGCTCCCCTTGCAAGATATCGGCGAAAAACTTTTTAATTGATCACGTGATATATAACCATATAATAACCATATAAGAAAGTTTGTATAACTATAATTTCTCGTTGACGTTAGGCAGGGTTACGTTAGGGTTTCAGCATTATATTTATATGCTTTTGTTATTAAGGGATTGGGTATAGGGTTAGGTTTGAGGTCAGATTATAAAAGGGTTAGGGTTTCGAATAGTCGTTCAGGGCCAGTAAGAGAACAAGTTGAAAAAGTTACGTGATCACAGTCAAGTATAGAGTGATTAATCATTTGTAGGTTTAAAACCTAACAAAAAACAAAACGCGCGCCGAGTTAATTTGACTAATATTTGAAACAAATATTTTAAGAGCACCAGTTATCACGTACGTTACCCGTTAACAGTTAATTAATTTAATCATCATTCGGAAAGTTTACATAATACTTAATCAACCGAGGGTGCAGAGGGGGGGGGGGGAAAGAAAAGGATGATGATTAATCACTCTACACTCGACTGTCACGTAACTTTTTAACCCGTTCTCTAGCTGGTTCTGAACAACTTTTCGAAACCCTAACCCTCTAATCTGATCATAACCTTACTGGGCCGCGCTCAGCCTGTCATTCCGCCGAATCTCTATGTTAATGAACATGATAGCCTGAGGTCCCCAGGTAAATCATAACCCTAACCCTAACCCAATCCTTAACAAAAACATATGCTAAAACCCTAACCTTAACGAGAAATTAGACTAACTTCCTTATACGGTCATATCACGTGATCGATACAGCAAGTTTTTCGCCAATATCTCGTCAGGAAAGCATTTTAACCCTATGTCATGGGGGGTGATTCGGAATCAGCGTCCGAAAATACATCGATTGAAGTTGGTTACAACCATCGGGGGCCCTTTTAGAACAATCTCGAAGATCGACTGTAGAGTGATTTAGCACGCTCGGAAGGAAAAGGGGGTTTCCATGTAAATGACACTAGTGTAATTTTGAGAAAATAGCTATGTTTAATACTATACTACAAACTATGGAGTTACTCGGCGGCGCTCAGCTTACTGGGCCGCGCTCAGCCTGTCATTCCGCCGAATCTCTATGTTTATGAACATAATAGCCTGAGGTCCCCAGGTAACGCACACGCTACTTTGTAGCACTTGCCTCGGGTCATAATATTTTGATAAGAAAGCGGCGCGCACTATAGATACTTCGAATAAATTTAAATGAGTATCATCCGTCAAGCTAAGTTATTGTGTTGCTCTAACTATTGCTCTAACCAGAGCCCTCTCGCTTGCAGTAACGCGCGACCGCCGAAGGCGGCACAGTTGCTTCTCTCATGCAGATTACAGATAAAAAGAAAAGCTCGTGTAACGGGCAATAATTGTCAAAAATTTGTTTCAAGACTGTCGACGTCTGAAAATCCTGTGCGCCGGCAAAAAATGTTTGCGAAGCTAGAATAGCTGTGATAGATTTAATTGACTCGGGGACCCCAGGCTATTATATTTATGTTCATAATCATAATAGAGATTAGATGCAATGACAGGCTGAGCGCCGCCAAGTAATTTATGAACAGTTTTTAACTGAAAGAGGGGTGAAAACAAAAAGTGGTAGTGCAATTAAAATAGCAGATTTAGATATAGATTTAGAGCCAGTGCATTGATTGTCATTTGGCTACTTTTACTATAAAGGTTTTTATGAATTTTCTTCAGTTTTGAAGGGGTTTTTACTCAGATTTTTACTTTTATATAGGCTCATTGTGATATTACATATTATTTATTATATATATATACTGTTTGAACTACTCTATCATTGATTATATGTTTTTGACTGATTTGAATATCGAGCACAGCAGATTGAAGTTTCTTAAAATTATGCTTTATTCTTATTGTGTTGCTGTGTCAATTTGATTCTAATTCGAACTCTAACCCTAAATTGCATAATACCAAGTCTGCAAGACAGGACGATGTTGTTTTTAAAGATTTGATAAAAATAAATATTCTCTACAATGAAACCATTTATCCAGTTCAGGCCAATGGAACTTTTTACTTAGTTCAGGCCACTGGTTATTTGACTCCAGCAAAGAAATGTCTTGACCTACCTACGGCACACATGTACACATGGTTTAGTCCAAAAGAAGTGGCGACCACAATTGACCTCCTGCATTCGAAGAATAGGACTATGCCATCTTTCAGGCCAACCCATTTCACCAATTTCCCAATATCTGATAGATGTGGTCTGGGTCATTATTGTTGGCATTTGTTTTCAGTTGGGAAAAAGGCACTTTTTCCGCAAAAGTAATTTAGAACAAGCTACAAGTTTCACTGCTTTCAGTAATCCACAGAATGCTTTAGTGGGGAACGAAAAAGCAGATGAGCTGGCCAAGCTTGGCACTATCAGCGAATCCACTTTGAGGTGTCCAATTCCACAATCCTACATCAAGCGTCAAATCGACAACAAAGTCAACAGACTGAATCAGGAAACTTGGTCAACTGACGGTCCCAGACACACCAAACTGACACTCGGCCACAAGCATGCCAAAATCATCAAAAACCTCAACACTACACTCAGCAACAACAGACAAGATTACAGAACTGCAGTTCACCTCATCACGGGTCACTGCGGCCTAAATAAACACCTTCACACCATTTGCAAATCAAACACCAGTGCTTGTCCTATGTGCGGGGACGGAGAGGAAACTGTCTCACACTTCCTTGGACAGTGTCCGGCTATTGCCCAAATTAGAGGTCAATATTTCCAGGACTACTACCTCTCTGTCAATGACATATTCGACAACCAACACATCACCACAATTGTCAATTTCACAAACCGCACCAAACGCTTAATTGTGCCGGAAAAGCTGGATCAGACCGGGGTGACTTAAAGTATTATCTCATGTGCTGTCTCGTCTCGTTACTCTTCCAAACCCAGCCGGCATTTAAGCGTATCATTTTGACTCATATAACATCCTACACCACCCTCCATCAATCACTCTGATCTCACCGGCAACCTTCCCCAAGGTTGCCACACCCCAGAGGTAGGCAGAGCATCTCAATGCTATCCTCTCGTGGGCTATCATGGCCCAGCCTCTCAAAAAAAAAAAAAAAAAAGAATGCTTTAGTGGGCTTTTCAGATGCCGGGTAACCTATTGAAGCCATCCAGGATTTACTTACAACTTTAAACCACTATTTCAAGAACCAAAAGGAGAAAGTTTATGATTTCACCCCTTTTCTGGTCAATGTGATAGAAAATAGAATAACATATAACACTTACAGTGGTGTAACGTTACATGTTGGCACCCCTGCCCCCCCCTTTTCGGCGTGGGGGTAGAAAGTAGAAATGTAAAATTGGACATAAAGTAGAAATGTAAAATTGGACAAATTAGGTGATTTTAGAGGATATATCAAATCAAATCTTTTTCAATAGTGTCCCACATTCAAACAATAATTTGGCGCCACTTTAAGGTGATGCCTCTGCCCTGGCCCGGCCGGTCCCCTCCCCCCCCCCCCCCCACCCCCCCCAACCCCCCCCCCCCCCCCCCCCCCCCCCCCCCCCCCCCCCCCCCCCCCCACCCCCCCCCCCTGCATTATATTCCTGGGCCAATTGCGCCAATTCGTCAATCGTGGCTCCGTCAAACAGCAATATTCCTCATAATTTAAATCATATATATTTACATATTATAAAGATAAATTTCGGTAACTTAAGTCACGCCTTTTCAACTATTTACAGAAAATACCAAGGAGGTCTATTATCTGGACCTCTCAGTACATCAAACTTTATCCATAGACTTTTCTCCACTCTAGCTGACAGTGTTCAAGTTGCATCGTCTTTTACGATTCGCTTTAGAAATTTACCCAGACACTACACATGGCTTCCTACAGCAGGACCTATAGAGTGAAAAATGTAATCAACCAAAGCAAAAAAATTCAAAAAAAAAAAAATTATTCATTTTCAGAAATTCTTGATTCGAGGTTAAATTCCACACTTTCAATAGAATTACTGTCCGTAAATTTCTCGCGTAATTTTTACGAAAACTGTAAGTTTAAGTAAAATTAATTCCAAGATTGCAGTAGAATAAAAGCTTTCTTTCTATCAAATCATAGTCCTTATGATATTTATAGCATAATTTATTCGAATATATTTTGTACGTGTGGCTGATTACTATAGTGAAGCAATGGAATGTAACTAATAACTTTGTGTTATTTATAACAACACATAAATAATATAATAAATACGTCATGTTCAGACTTTCATTTTCAGGATCAATTAATACAGTAATAGACCAGAAAACGGCGGTGAGCTCGAAAGTTTTTAGTAAGTATTCTAAGTTAAAATAATAAATATATGTATACGTATATTATAATATGTAATTATGTATTACATATCCTGATAAAATTATATTTTTTATCGATAAACTTTTTTGTTAGGCTGAGTGAATAATTCAATAAAAGAGGGATCGAAGGATTCAAATCTTCAAAAATAAAATATTTTTGGTAGTAGTAGCCAGAGACATGTTTCGATGTGAACAAAGTCTAATTTTCATTGATTTGTAGATGTAATACCGATACACAAAGACGCTTATAACGGTAAAGGAAAACTGTCCTCTCCTGTAAAGTCACGGGATTAGAAGCAAAAGCTTCAGTGAGGTTGGGACCAAGGGAAACCAAACAGTAGGCGGATCAATACTGAAGGGGAACTGATCGTGTAATATCAGATCTCCACCCTGACAGTTATCAACCCACATAGAGGATACGGAGTACACTTGTGTGGTTACATCTGGACGGTACCCTTCATCAAAACCCTCTGAGACGCTTGTGTCACTCAACGTCTATGGTGAGTTTTTAGTCTGACCATTATAAATACCAATAAGAACTTCGATTAAAATGATAGTTGACATCCACATAAATCTGATATACCATTTTTACATTTTAGAGATAAGAAATTGAATATGAGGAGACAGTTTATGAATGACAGCCCATAATTGAGCCCCTATAATTGAGCCCCTATAATTGAGCCCCTAATTCTCGCCTAAGAATGCTTCCCGGAATCAGCATAATGAACAGATGAAGATGCTCTATGAATGCACAGAATCCATGGTCTGAGAATCATAGTACCCCATTGTGATGTGTTGTCCTTCAAAGTTATTGTACGGTGGTTTTTAGTCCAGTGGATTGTTGTTCAGTGATGTTTTGTGATTTGCACTTAGAAAATGGCCACAGAGGATTAAAAGTGGCATTGTACAAGTGGAGGGGTTATCAAGCATTAAAATCAATATTTTAATCATTTATTATGTTTTTTAATCGGATTATGACAAAAATTATTAAGGTAACAGCAGCGTGAGTAACATTGATTAATGTAAACGTTACAGTTGCAGGACTTAAAGTATTATGTCAGGATTTGTAACACATTCAATAACAACACCTGATGCAGATTTTAGTCTGATAGATTGGAAAGGTAGAGACGTTGGTGTGGGAGTACGAGGATTACTGATAGTCAATGAGGGAACAGTTTGTAACGACGATTTCAGCAACAACTCTGCCAATGCTATTTGTCGTAGGATGGGGTACAGTGGTCAAATTAGTTGGACTTCAGCTAATAGATGGAAAATGCAAGATGACCGACCCATTGTTATGGAGGAAGCAAGTTGGCAGGGCAGACATGCTAAAAGCTGGACCATGATCAACAAGATCACAGGTAAAGCTCCATCATATACTGGCAAAATCAAGGGAAACTCACCAACGGAAAGGGTTCAGAAATGGAAGGACTATTTTGCTACTCTTCTCGGCTCACCACCGACGGTAGAGAACGCGGAAGAGGATATTGATCCAGTCCACCCACCTCTGAATATCGGAACAGAACCGTTTACGTTGGATGAGTACAGGAAAGCAAAGTCCAGCATAAAGGAAGGGAAAGCATGGGGTGACGACAACATAGCCCCAGAAGTCTTAAAACGATGCGACCTTGATCAAATTGTCTTAGACTTCTGTAACAATGCTCTATTGAAAGGTGAGAAACCAGACCAATGGTCAACTGCCAACATCATACCAATTCCAAAGAAGGGCGACCTTAGCGAACCAATGAACTATCGGGGAATAAGCTTGTCATCCCTAGTTGCCAAGTCTCTAAACAAGATGGTTCTAAACCGGTTGAAGCCAGAAATCGAGACAATTCTGCGTAGAAACCAGAATGGATTCAGACCAGGAAGGTCAACAACTCAACAGATATTGGTACTGAGACGTCTTATAGAGGGTGTCAAGAGTCGGAAACTGCCAGCTGTTCTGACATTTATAGACTTTAAGAAGGCTTTCGACAGTGTACATCGTGGGAAAATGCTAAAGATTCTAGAAGCTTACGGCATTCCAGTCAAAATCGTGCAGCTTATACGGCTCATGTACGAGAAGACAATGGCCAAAGTCCTAACTCCAGACGGAGAAACTGAATTGTTCGAGATACTTGCAGGTGTGTTACAGGGTGATACCTTAGCACCTTACCTCTTTGCAATAGTCATCGACTACTGTATGAGGCAAGCCATAGGCGATGATGCGGAGCGACTTGGACTCACCCTCGAACGTAGAAAAAGCAGAAGAGTGGGGCCCAAGATCATCACCGATGTGGACTTTGCAGATGATATAGCACTTATATCTGAGGACATGGACAAGGCTAACGAGTTCCTGCTCAGAGTAGAATCGGCGGCAGCAAGCGTGGGACTACACATAAACGAAGGCAAGACCAAGGTCATGACACTGAATATGGAGGATCGATCAAGCGACCTACAAAGTCGATCCGGGGAAGCCATAGAAAATGTAGATGATTTCATCTACTTAGGCTCCTGGATTGAGAGCACAGATAGGGAGATAAGGGTTAGAAAGGGAAAAGCGTGGGGTGCCCTACATAGACTGAAGGATATCTGGAAATCCAAACTCTCAAAGAGCCTAAAGATTAGATTGTTCATAGCGGCTTGTGAATCAGTACTGCTCTACGGATCAGAAACCTGGACACTGACAAAGGCTCAAGAGAAAAGTTTGGACGGGACATACACAAAGATGTTGCGTATGGTGCTGGGTATCTCATGGAAGGACAAGGTCAGCAATATAACTTTGTATGGTAGCCTCCCAAGGCTGTCAAACAAGTTACGAAGCAGGAGATTAAAAATGGCGGGACACTGCATCCGACATCCTGAGCTACTTGCCAGTGATTTAGTCTTATGGGAACCTACGCACGGTAGAGCACAGCAAGGCCGACCAAGACAAAGCTACTTGTCTATGTTACTGAAGGAAGTTGGGACAAACTCTAAAGAGGAACTGCGAACCCTGATGCGGGACAGGGATATATGGAGGGGGTTTTCTGGCGTAGATCGGACTTAGCTCCGACATAGTAGTAGTAGTAGTATTGTTATGGATGATGTGTCTTGTAACACTGGTGAATGGAGCTCATGTTCGTATTCATGGTCTCACAACTGTGATCACAGTAAAGATGTATTTCTTCAATGCGAGGGGGTTGGTGAGTTGATTACTGAAATTTTACTATTTCGAAAATTAGATTAGTGGATTCTGTAGGAATAAGAAATTTATAAAATATCTGGCACGGTTCATCTATATGCTTATAATATTTAAGTATATATATATATATATATAGTTTCAAATTGTATATATATATATACAATTTGAAACTTTATTGACTATCCTTTCCTTTCAATAATTTAGGTCGCTACAAAGATTACTATTACTTTCTGTGAGTGCTTTGAAATTTATTAATAATCTATATTTCAGAGTATGATACCTGGAATCCCGTGATACGAGAAAGATTCCTCAGTGCTAACTTGGAGACTGTGTATCTGCATATGAAAACTAATTCTAGTAGTTCTGTGGGAAATAGACAAAACATTAAGATATGGTTTTATGATACAGACCTATACCAGGCTGGATCATTCTATATCTGGTTTGTATCCACCTACTCGGTTAAGTACCTGCTAGGGGAGTGTATGCGTTACTACACCAGTTTCCCAGTAAGATTGCCAGCAGACCCAGAAAAGACCTGGATGATCAGTAAGCGTGGCAAAACGACAAAAGTATACTGCAATGGGAAAATGGTTTTGGAAGTCGCTGCATCCTCAAAAATATGCGACAATCCAGCATATAGTACCACATGGGCTACATATTACGGACGAGAAGCAAACGCAATCTACTTCCCAATTACCCACACAGCTTCAGACTCATATTACATAGGTAAAAAACATGAAGGTCAAATTTATATAGAGATTCGAGCAAATATGACAATTATTGATGTCAAGACTTTCATTGATCAAAACTTGTTCAGGAACTGATGTTCCAAAATGCACTGGACTAGATGCTAAATGGAGCAACATTGTGGCAAGCAGTGACTTTCCAGTACTCAATGGAACAAAGGTTATTCTCCGATGTGAGGATGGATACCATCAATTTGGGGACACTGAAATCACATGTCATCAATATACGCAATTCTATTTTGTGACTGAGCCAAAGTGTTCATGTAAGTAGAAGTAAACTGTTAGTATGGATAAACAGTTATAGGTACTCCCACAAGTAGACGTTTTTACAAATATTTCTGAAGAATCATAGTGATACACAATTGAAAATTTGTATGTTGTACGGAGATGGCTATAAGTAGGAAGAGTTATACCAATCAAGTATATTCGTTATATTGCTGTATCGATCTGGTAGCCGTAATGGCAAACTTGAAGTATTATGTAACAAGATTTGTAACACTTTCAGTAACGACACCTGATGCAGATTTTAGTCTGATAGATTGGAAAGGTAGAGACGTTGGTGTGGGAGTACGAGGATTACTGATAGTCAATGAGGGAACAGTTTGTAACGACGATTTCAGCAACAACTCTGCCAATGCTATTTGTCGTGGGATGGGGTACAGTGGTCAAATAAGTTGGACTTCTACTGACAAATGGAAAATGCAAGATGATCGAACCATTGCTATGGATGATGTGTTTTGTAACAGTGGTGAATGGAGTTCATGCTCTTATTCATGGTCTCACAACTGTGATCACAGTAAAGATGTATTTCTTCAGTGCCAGGGAATTGGTGAGTTGATTGCTGAAATTCTGCTTGTATAAAAATTAGATTATAGGATTCTGTACAAAATAAGACATTTACTGGTTCGTATGAAATATATAATTCCAGTCTTATTAAGAAAGTATTGGGCTTCTTATTGGACTATTTACACTACCAGATTTAATTTCATCACAAATGAACTGCTCGTTCAAAAATAAAATTGAATGAATAATTACTGACTCTCTTACATTTTACATCCAAGACAAGGATTTAAAGTCTAACTTTTTGTGAGATATCTGAAAGTTCACTTCTTATTAATAATCTATATTTCAGAGCATGATACCTGGAATCCCGTGATACGAGAAAGATTCCTCGATGCTAACTTGGAGACTTCGTATCTGCATATGACAACTTCGATTAGTTTTTTAGGAAATAGACAAAACATTAAGATATGGTTTTATGATACAGACCTATACCAGGCTGGATCATTCTATATCTGGTTTGTATCCACCTACTCGGTTAAGTACCTGCTAGGGGAGTGTATGCGTTACTACACCAGTTTCCCAGTAAGTTTGCCTGCAGACCAACAAAGGACCTGGATGATCAGTAAGCGTGGCAAAACAATAAAAGTATACTGCAATGGGAAAATGGTTTTAGAAGTGGCTGCGTCCTCGGAGATATGCGACAATCCAGAATATAGTACCACATGGGCTACATATTACGGACGAGAAGCAAACACAATCTATTTACCAATTACCCATACAGCATCTGACTCATATTACATAGGTAACCCCTTTAAGATAAAAAACATCAAGGCCAAATTTGCGTAGGGATTTGGGTAAATTTGACAATTATTGATGTCAAGACTTTCATCGTCAGTGATCAACCTTTTTCAGGAGCTGATGTTCCAGAAAAGAAGTAACTGTTGGAGTACTCAAAGATATTTTCTGATTGTTGACAATTTCAGAATTTCTACTTATACTTGAGGAGAAATTGAACGTTTTACACTACGTTTTACTTTTAGGTATTTTTAAAAGTGATGCCAAAAAAACTGTATCATAAACAAACAAAAAGGTAACTCGACTTACTCTTCGACTTAGGGCGGCTTCAACGTCCGAACAGAGATAGTTTTTTTTTCCAAAACTGTCTATCCAGCATGAGTTTGTTAATCTCCTTGCTGTCGTCAAGCCACATGTCAATATATGTGAGGTGTGGTCTTCGATCCCCTACGACGATGTCCTTGAAGGGGTTCCCAGAAGAGAAGTTGATGACTCAGAAGTTCTTCATGTCTGGCTAGATGACCTGCAAGTCTCATCCTCCGTTCAGCTATCTTATCAGATGCTCTGATGAGGTGTCCATATACCTTGGCGTTAGTCTGCCGCGTTTTCCAGTCTATGTTAAGTGCCATCCTCAGCATTCTCGTATAACATCCATCAATACGTTTTGCGACGGTCTGGCTGACAGTCCATGTTTCAGAGCCATACAATAAAATGGACTCAACTGTAGCCAGGAACAGTCGTATCTTGAGATCTCTACGCATATCCGACTTCCATACAAACTTCATCTGGTGACACGCTCCCCATACCTTAGTTTTCCTCACTTCGAAGTCCTTCTCTGAACTCTTCATTCTACTACCCAAGTATACAAAGTCATCGACTTTCTTAATGGTCTTCCAGCTCCCAGCAACCAGAGACGGGTTATCATCATCTCTTATGTTGATTCCCATGTACTTAGTTTTCCCTCGTTGAGGTGAAGTCCAACTGAGTTGGCGGCCAGTTCCAGACTCCTGAGGAAATCTTGTGCCTCCGCAACACTATCTGTCATAAGAGCAAGGTCGTCAGCAAAGTCGGCATCAGCAATCAGTGACCTTGACAGCCGGATAGGGTCAGTAACCATTTTCGTTATTTTGCTGTACCGATCTGTGATCTGGAAGCCTTTTATTTTCTGTCGTACGAAGATAGGCTGCCATACATCCCTGGTTGAACTGATTTAACCGACCCTGCCTCTCGTTACGTCATTACTAAGCAGTGGACAGATCGCTGGAAAGTTGCGTTATATTTGTACCTACGATTTTTTATCTTTCACAGTATTAGTAACTCGCTCCAACCAAAGTTTTAGTTTTACTAGCCTGTCACGTGACAAAAATAATCATAGCACATACGTCATACTCAGTGTGATTCGGAATCAGCGTACAAAATACACTGAATTAAAATACTTGTATTACTTACATACCCACTTTTATTTGGCCCAAAATATAAATAAGACTTTTCTGGATAACTCAAAATCTATGTTTTCCCAAATTGTGCTGACTGGGGAGCTAACTTAAAATTTACGAGACGAACATTTTGAAAAAACCGGGAGCAAAGTCTCTATATCTCTTTTACTTTCGGAAATAGACCCCAGCCAGAAAGGTTTCCTGAGCACTCTACATTAGATTTTTGTATCAGTATAGCGCCCGACAGTTGAAACCAATTTTGATTCACGATGTCAATCCTTCGCATCTCGCCAATCTGCATATGTGGTTGCAAGAAGATTTGACTGATGTTACTCGTCTAAATTTCTTCGAAGTAGCGCGCGCCGCTTTCTTCTCACTTTGAGCGTGATCTTAACGGGTGATACTAGTAAAATATCTGTTCGTCGACGAGTCCAACTCGGCGCGCGTCCTGTTAGGTTGTAAACCTACAAGCGTGATCAAATTCTGGCCTTGTAATTGGTTGCGCGCGTACGTCACGTGACATAGGGCGCAGCCAATGTCTGATTTACTCCATAAATGTGGAGTTGCTCTAACCAGAGCCCTCTCGCTTGCAGTAACAAGCGCGTCACGTAGCAAGCGCGTCACGCAGTACGCGTAGGCACATGGCTATGTGAAAATGTGGAGTAAAACTCTACGTTTTTCTATGGTCTGGCCCGACGGCAAGTGCTACGAAGTAGTGCGCGCCGGGCCAAATCATTTACAATGGTCAAGAGAAGATGCGCGGCGCGGCCCAGAAGTGCATTGCGCTACATAAACCAATTTGAATCAATGTATTTTAACATAGGGTTAAAAAACTCCCCTGGCAAGATATCGGCGAACAACTTCTTAATTGATCACGTGATATATAATTATAACCATATAAGAACCATATAAGAAAGTTGGTATAACTATAATTTTTCTTGTCATACGTTGTATGACCCGCCGCGCACGAAGTGCGCGGCTCCCCTTACCTGATGACCCCAGGCTGTTATGTTCATTAACGAATAAAGATTTGGCGGAATGACAGGCTGAGCGCGGACCAGTAAGGCTCCCCCTGTAGTGAAACGACCGTGGGGGTCGCAACGTGATACGAAATTTCTCGTTGACGTTAGGCAGGGTTACATTAGGGTTTCGGCATTATATCCTTTTGTTATTAAGGGATTGGGTATAGGGTTAGGTTTAAGGTCAGATTATAAAAGGGTTAGGGTTTCGAATAATCTATAGAGATAAGTGATAAGGCGGAATGACAGGCTGAGCGCGACCGAGTAAGGACTATGAAGCTGAGTGGGCCGCCAAGTATAACAGTGGAGGAAAAAATGGTTTAAAAAGTGATTACGTATTATGTAAAAAATTCCGGCCCTACACTAATTAATAAAACCAAATGAAAATGCTGGAAATCAAAAATTGCGGAAAATTTTTTTTTTTAAATCTTTCTTGTACGTCCTCCGATCGACCGCAATATGTGTGCTAGTTATTTAATGGGTGATACTCGTAAAATATTTGTTCCATATATTGGAAGGACCGTCGACGAGTCCAACTCGGCGCGCGTCCGGCCGGCCTGGTATGTTGTAAACCTACAACTAGTTATTTAATTGTCGTTGTATTATTGACCTAGTGAAAGTGCTGGTGACGATGAGAAAGACCATAAACCAGGGATTCCTTCGGGAGCATGTAAGATTATATCCAAAGTTTGTTCGCCAATGGGGTGTGTCTGGGTGTCAAAGATCTTCAAGGTGGGTGCTACTTGTGATGAACTCTAGAAGGATGGGATGGTAATACTCGGTCTGGCCGTCTGGAAGCCCATAGAATTCCAGTTCAGAAACCGAGTACGGAGGTGCGGCTACTGATGAGAAGCCTCCTTAAAGTTTATTTGGGTTAGAAACGACATCTGGGTCCTTACCCTCGCACAAGATTATTTTCAATTTTCTTGTTGTGTCCACAACTATACCGTTGATCAGAGTCACATCTGATGACTTCAGTGAAAGGGCTGATGACTTCAGTGAAAGAGCTGGTGACCTAGTGAAAGTGCTGGTGACGATGAGAAAGACCATAAACCAGGGATTCCTTCGGGAGCATGTAAGATTATATCCAAAGTTTGTTCGCCAATGGGGTGTGTCTGGGTGTCAAAGATCTTCAAGGTGGGTGCTACTTGTGATGAACTCTAGAAGGATGGGATGGTAATACTCGGTCTGGCCGTCTGGAAGCCCATAGAATTCCAGTTCAGAAACCGAGTACGGAGGTGCGGCTACTGATGAGAAGCCTCCTTAAAGTTTATTTGGGTTAGAAACGACATCTGGGTCCTTACCCTCGCACAAGATTATTTTCAATTTTCTTGTTGTGTCCACAACTATACCGTTGATCAGAGTCACATCTGATGACTTCAGTGAAAGGGCTGATGACTTCAGTGAAAGAGCTGGTGACCTAGTGAAAGTGCTGGTGACGATGAGAAAGACCATAAACCAGGGATTCCTTCGGGAGCATGTAAGATTATATCCAAAGTTTGTTCGCCAATGGGGTGTGTCTGGGTGTCAAAGATCTTCAAGGTGGGTGCTACTTGTGATGAACTCTAGAAGGATGGGATGGTAATACTCGGTCTGGCCGTCTGGAAGCCCATAGAATTCCAGTTCAGAAACCGAGTACGGAGGTGCGGCTACTGATGAGAAGCCTCCTTAAAGTTTATTTGGGTTAGAAACGACATCTGGGTCCTTACCCTCGCACAAGATTATTTTCAATTTTCTTGTTGTGTCCACAACTATACCGTTGATCAGAGTCACATCTGATGACTTCAGTGAAAGGGCTGATGACTTCAGTGAAAGAGCTGGTGACCTAGTGAAAGTGCTGGTGACGATGAGAAAGACCATAAACCAGGGATTCCTTCGGGAGCATGTAAGATTATATCCAAAGTTTGTTCGCCAATGGGGTGTGTCTGGGTGTCAAAGATCTTCAAGGTGGGTGCTACTTGTGATGAACTCTAGAAGGATGGGATGGTAATACTCGGTCTGGCCGTCTGGAAGCCCATAGAATTCCAGTTCAGAAACCGAGTACGGAGGTGCGGCTACTGATGAGAAGCCTCCTTAAAGTTTATTTGGGTTAGAAACGACATCTGGGTCCTTACCCTCGCACAAGATTATTTTCAATTTTCTTGTTGTGTCCACAACTATACCGTTGATCAGAGTCACATCTGATGACTTCAGTGAAAGGGCTGATGACTTCAGTGAAAGAGCTGGTGACCTAGTGAAAGTGCTGGTGACGATGAGAAAGACCATAAACCAGGGATTCCTTCGGGAGCATGTAAGATTATATCCAAAGTTTGTTCGCCAATGGGGTGTGTCTGGGTGTCAAAGATCTTCAAGGTGGGTGCTACTTGTGATGAACTCTAGAAGGATGGGATGGTAATACTCGGTCTGGCCGTCTGGAAGCCCATAGAATTCCAGTTCAGAAACCGAGTACGGAGGTGCGGCTACTGATGAGAAGCCTCCTTAAAGTTTATTTGGGTTAGAAACGACATCTGGGTCCTTACCCTCGCACAAGATTATTTTCAATTTTCTTGTTGTGTCCACAACTATACCGTTGATCAGAGTCACATCTGATGACTTC